TTCACGTCGTATTCTTTTTGCCGTTAGTGACACACAATCGGGAACATCGATTGCCATCCGAACACGTCCGAGAAAGTATGTGCGTTTGCACGCGTTATTAAAATTTTTTGTCTGCTTGGGTAGTTAGGAAATCGTCGGAATTCAACAGAACCGATCGATTTCGACCGATTTCGACATACCCTGATTCTCCTGGGATTCAATTAGAAAACGTTGTCAAAGGATTCGATCGTTCTTCTTGACATTGTTCATTTTCTGAGCGTGTATAATTTCTGGAACACCATGATAATTGATAAATTACGAATAAATAAATGAATAAAAATTCTCGGTAGCCTCTTCTCCAGTTTCTAGAAATGAATCCACGCCCATTGGTTGCCAATCTCAGTCATTTCGAGACTCTACAATATTAGCCTGTTGACTGCAGCTGCTTGAGACGGCGTGGCGGGAGCCCGGAACTTCGGCCCAAGGAATTTTCGGGCCGGACTTTCGGCTCAGTATGAAATGAAGATGAGGATGAGAATGAGAATGACCCAGTTTTATGATAAAAAAAGATTTCGTTTGAGGCCGAAAGTCCGGTCCGAAAACTCCTTGGGCCGAAATTCATGTAACCCATTATTATATTGATAACAGAGTAATTGGATATAAACGAGCCAATAGAGCTTTTACATGAATGGATAAAGTAATAGCACAATTCCACCAATGAGTATTAGATAATACACCTTTACAAAACCTAGCTTATTAAAAGCTAGACAAATATACTTTTAACATATTTCTCGAGTATTATGGGTAAGTTACCACTAGTTGTCATTTTGATCATTTTTGTTAACCTTCCGAGCATGCCACCAGTGTTTTGTGTTTTAATAATTTTCTTTTTTTTTCTTCAAAGACTATATAGATGGAATTCGATGCTACAATTGCGTAGATCATTGTCCTGATCCATTCAATAAAACAAGTGTTTTGTCTCTCGAATCATTGAATAGATGGTCTTTTTGTATGGTAATTTATCTATGTTCACAATTATGCATCAAATTTTGTTTTTCTTTAGAAACTTAAAGCACTAAAACCTGTAAAATTCATGTTGGTCCGTTCTTTTACATCATATGATTTGTGTACTGAAAACAAATTTGAAATGATCTGATTACAATGGTGTCAAACAAATCAGTTGATGTTGTAATTCAAAACTACGTAACAATGCCAATACAAGAATAATCTCATTGTATAGTTTTTTTGGACCAATAATTTTCATCGGTATGAATTTGATTCCTTATCAATGAATTTACTTATCTGTTACTTTTTCCTACTTGTTTCTGCTTTTTGTTCTTTGTCACATAGCTCCCTTTTTTCGTACAAAATAAATGACTAGTGATGATATATTATCTTTTTTTATCAGTAGAAACATGTCGACACTTTTTGTTTTATTACTTGTAATTGTTGGAATATCAAAAATAAACGCTAGCTCTTGCACTTGTTGTTTTCCTGGCCAACAGCCTATATGCCAAACGCCTGCAATCAATCTTCCATCTTGTGATGATTGCACAAGTTATTTCTGTGCACAACATGTAAAAGGATGTCAAGGTAGATATGTTTGTGACGTTACATGTAAATCGGATTCGAGTACAACGAGTACAAAACCTAAAAGCTCATCAACACAGACATCAATCACTACTACATCCAATAATGCTTTTACTGTTCGGGTTGGATTAATTATGATTATGATTAGTTTGACACCATCAATCTTTACCAACTGAATTTTCAAAAGAAAAAGATAAACATTTATATTATTTCTGATGAAATAAAATTAATAAAAAAATATTATTTGACCATCATTTTTCTATTTTGTTCTAAAGGAGACTATAGAAAGAAAAGTAAATAAAATATTTAAAAAAAAGAATTTGCGCCTTTTTTACTTTTTTTATGATGGATAAATTTTATTATTTTCTAGTTTTTAATTTTTTAATATCAAATATTCATGGAGAATGTTTAGAATTCAGTCATAATAATGTGACGAAGATTCAACAAAAATGTCAATTGAAGATAACTGAATATAAAGGTTTTCAGAAGTGTCTAAATTGCCATATAAACAGGCCAATGATACCATCAGAGAAAGTATCAATAACTAATCAATGTTCACCTGTAGTTAAACTTCAGTGTGTAGAATTGTATTTTAATGATACACAAACTTTTCTTAATTTTTCTCATCATTATTCTCGTATAATCAATAAATTATTCGATGAAAACATGTCAACAAATACATCAATGGATAACGCATTATTTATACATATTGCATATGATTCACTCGGTGTATTCAGTTTAAAAACAATTCAATCACTTGAAAATATACCGCAGCGAAAATTTCATGATTTAGGATTAGTAATGAGAAATCGTATAAATCAAACAACACTTTTTATTCATTCTGATGTTCAAAATTCAACGTTTCGTGTTATACAAGTATACATCGATTGTGGTGATCAGCAAGGCTGGAATACGTATGATTACGTTCGTAAAATTTCAAACGAAAAGCGACCAGACTACATTAAATGTGAAATTTCAACGCCAGCGTCTATGACAACTGAGCCATGGACAATATCTACTCGACGTAGTACTCTATCTACTATAGATAAACAAGCCACTATATACATTTCATCTGCCATCCATAAGAATGCCACGATCATTTCATCTACTAGCAATACCGGAATAATTGTATACACAACATCTAGTACAACTAAAGGCTCTACTTCATTAGCTACTCTAAGATCAGTTAACATGTCCAAATCATCTCATACTGCTAAAAAATATACACACTCATCATTCACCACTACTAAATCAACTACCGCAATTGCATCACCTAGTACTATTGAAAATGTCACACAAACATCGTCTACCACCAATAAACGACCTATCAAACAGCCAATATTTAACACTACTGAAAATAGCAGCATAAACATATCATCTACTGCTCATAAAATACAATCATATGCAACATCGTTTTCTACTGAAACAACAACTATTGTTAGCACTAAAGCGACTGAACAAATATTTATAACTACTCATTCAGTTACTATCAGTACTGATATGTACACTTCTTCGAAATCAATAAAATCAACAGAGCGAAACGGATCCAGGCTTATTCTTATATTCAGTCTTTCTATAGTTGTCTCTTTACTTTCGTGCCTATTAATTGCGTTACTTGTTTATAAATTGTGCAACAAAGAAATTCTAGGAGAAGACGGCGACGAAGAAGATGAAGATGAAAAACAACGACGACAATTAAGTACACCATTTTGCGTACTTAATTCAACATCAAATACTGAAAGTGCAATGTCATCAAGCCAATGGAAAAGACGTTTATTTTGATCATTTTTATAAAACAACATATGATTCTTGTTTTTTTGTCTTTTGATAAACAGCGAAAATTAAAAGTATTGTGAAAAGGTACAACTGAAAAATATCCGCTGATACAAACTAAGTATAAAATTCTGGATCCTTCATAGTGCATTAATGATTGCAAACATAAATTCGTTTCCAATTAGAATAACTCGTTACGTTTACAATTTCTATAGAAACTTATCGAATGTTAGATTCTACCAATTCTCTGACTTCGAATCAGTGCAGATTATTCGAAACTTTTTTATACGATTTACTCAATGGATATGTTCTAAATGTCATAAGAAATATAATAAACTTGAGAAAAATCAATTCTACGAATATTTGCATCATTTGATTTCATATTAGATTAAGTTCACGAAGATTTATGATGAATTGAAAAAAGACGTACATATACTTACGTAGACTGATTAATTGCAGTATTGAATAAAAAATGATTTTTTTGTTGTTTTCTGGAATATCCTCTTTTCTTTCCTAAATTCAAAAACTAATTTATAAATAAATTCAATGCTTCAAGCTATATTTTTGTAACATATGCGTTTAGTTGATTTTCAAGTTTGGCATGAAGATATGGCTTGAATCGAATGTGATCATGTTTATTATAGCTATTGCATTAACCAAGATCTAATTTTTCCAGTTCAATTCTAAGTTCCGAATTCCTTTTTGTATCAAGTCGTTAATGATAAAATCTTTCTTTAAAAGTTATATTTTACGAATGAACAAATATCTTGTCATTGATGCAAGGAATAGAATTTTAATGCTTCATCGTCGTAATTTCAAACATCATACTGTAGATAATACATTCACTTTATTTCATTTAATATGAATGGTTTCTGATATTGATTAATATGAGAACATTTTTTCTACGTTTTCGTACTAGCATTCATGCTGTGAATAAAGAAAATAGTCTTTCACCTTTGTTTGGAGAGATTTACAATTTAAAGTATAGAAATTAAATTCTAATTCATCTATGACTTTTTTCATCTATTTTGGAATAGAAAAAACTCAAAACAAGCTGTATTTGTTTTGTGTTGAAAAACATATTAGATGATTTTCTTTTTTGCGTTGTGTTAACTTCTCAGAAAATGTATGACAACGGGATAATAGGAAAACTTATGCAAGAGGTCTTCCCCTTTTATCATCTCGTGCTCATGCAATATCTTTGACGATCAATGATAATCGAATTTTATACATATGCGAATTTATTAAGTTTGATCCATACAGATACATTAGAGATATTACAATTCTATTTATCTTCATATATGTTTATGTTCGGATTAAACATTAATGATCCACGTCTACCTATTATCAATAGGGGAAAAGGAATATAAATTGAAATTTATAATTCTCCAAACCTTGATCGAAAGGGAAAATCTCAACAAGGAGAAAGTACCAAAAAAAATTAAATAAAGGTAGAAGATACCAGAAAGTGAGATTCACATTGATCTGCCATTCATCCTTTGCTTTCCTAATAATACAATTCATTCAATTTAAACTATTCATGATTTTGATATTATATTGTTTCTAGTTCTAGCTTTACTTTAATATTACTTTTTAAAGTGTTTTTTTTTGCTGCTTTAGATTCATTCTAACAGTGACTGTAAGATAATAGGATAATATTAGCTGTTCTTATACTGATCAACATGTTTAAATCAATTTCTTTCTTGTCTTGTAGATCATTATCACACAACATCAACAAATGTGAAGGTATGTATGTTGACTATTGATGCTTTTTTTTTATCTTACAGAACTTCCAAGTAATTTCTAAAAGTCAATGAAAAGAAACAGATTCTTTTACGATCAATTCGATTCATTCAAAAAGAAAAGAAGAAGAAAATTCACGAGTCTATTCAGGAGAAAAGCGTTGGACACGATGATTTTCACAATCAACGACATAGAGATTTCTATTTTGATCGAAGGACAGACCAATGGGGCCCGTGAACTGATCTGCTTGACTTCCCCAGCCCTTCCCACCCATAATCACTGTGCCTTGTTTCGCTCCTTGAGGCCAACGCATTACACGACTATTAAATGTGTCTGCTACATAGAGAGTACCCGACGTATCGACAAAAAGACCCATAGGTTGATTCAATTGCGTCAAGGCATTACCTCGACCTTGAGCTCCAGCGACAATGATGCCTTCTTTTGTATCTTTATTCCAGTTCATTACACGATGATTGTATTGTTCAGATACATAGACATTCTGTTCTCGATCGACAAAAAGATAACTTGACTCATTAAGTTGATGGAGACCATTTCCTCGGCCATTGCCTTCAGCCACGAGAGTACCATTCTTGTCTCCCGATTGGTACCGTCTTACTTCATGTTTTTCGTAGTTAGAGACATAGAGATACCCCTGATCATCCATAGCCAATCCTCAACAACCGATTTCATCGATTAGAACTTCTCCTTGTGTTATACCACTACAACAGGGCCATCGTACAACTCGACGATTCGCGCTGTCACAAATAATGAGACTATTTGTCTCTTTATCGATCAATACGTCGGTTGGATTATCCAATTGGTTCAATCTATTTCCTTGCCCATTGCCACCAGCAACGACTTATCCATTCGTCGTATCGTCTTTCTTCCATTGAATGACACGATGACTCATGTAGTCAGCAATGATAACTGTTTGGTCCTCATCAACAAAGAGACCAAATGGGTTTTGCAGTTGATTGACGGCACTGTCTCTCTCGTGACCTCCACTAACAGTTACTCCATTCTGTATCCATTGGGTATTGGTTGGAATATTAAGCATAGTATAAGAAACAAAAATATTGAAGGTGTGTGCGGGTGTATATCTAGATGAGTCGCCGACAAGATGCTCCTCAGGCACGTGCTCCCTAACTGTATTTAACAAAAATGTTAATCAGTGCGAGATTAAGATATATATTTATTTATTTGAGGGTGTGTGTGAGTGAAGAGGATAACCATTTGCTCATACGTACACTGACACACTCACACCGATACACGCATACCCTCAAATAAATAAATGTTTATCTTAATCTTGTGCTGATTAACATTTTTATTAAATACAGTTAGGGAGCAACTATCCGCGGAGCATCTTGCCAGGATTCATCTCGATATGATTATAGGTGAAAGTGTACCATTTCCTGAATTAGAAACAGCCTCTCTTCAAAGTTAAACTTAGTGATGAAAGGTACTGCACATAGTCTATTGTTTAGATAGCACCATTTAATACAGAATAAAAACGTGCATCTAAAGCATCGGTTATAGATCGAATGGAATTTAAAAAATGATTTCAAGCTGCAAATACTTTTGTTGCACGATAATCACTATCAAGAACGGTAGTCATTCAATTGAGATTTAAAACTTTACGCTTGTTACAGTCGATTTCAGATCTAATACAAGTTAGAGAGCGAATCAAGATTAGAGATAGTGAAACATCGTGCTTACTTTAATTACATCTTTGAATTACTTACCCATATCAAATAATTTAAACTGAAATAATCACAAAAAATTTCATATTATGTTATCGCTAATTTCAGGCTGGTCTATCTATAGAAGACTGCTTTTATGTCGAATGATTTGTTTTTTTTTACTTTTGGAAGATGTTAACAGTTTACTTATCTTATCTTCCTCCTTTCACTTTTATTTGTATAGTTTTTAGCAAAAGACTGATAACAGTTGTGCCGATATAAGCACTCGTTCTATTCTAATCAATGTACATAACGACTTTCTCCTCGTTGTCATCTGTATTCTCTTTTCCTCTTTGTCGTGTTCTTTCTCGTATTCTCAGGCTGAGCGACGCGCCCCGGAGAAAGAAAGGGTAACTATAAAAGGAGACATATGATTGAAATAAAATAGTTCGATATCACGATAAAACGTTTCGTATCGTTACAAGAGTGACTCTACGTATCAAAATCTTCATATCCAAAGTGATAACCACGACAAATATGCATGAAAACATAGGAAACAAACTCAAAACCGAATAATGAAGATGATTTTGTAAACAATATATATTAAGAATGTGTATTTCTGTATTATATGACTGGTTGCAAACAATACAAAAAAATAAGCAATCCAAATCACTGATCATTTTCATTGACGATTTTTACTCGAAAAATATGTATTCTATGGTTTATTTCAGTTTCCCGTTTATTCGTGAACGCATGACAACGTGATACCTTTGTTGTTATAATCATACATTGGTTATTTTATAGATGCAACTTCTGTTACGAAAACATATCAATTATTTGTTTAAAAATTCCTAAAAGAAAGTAGATAAAACGAATTCGTCGAAAAATGGTATGAATTACATGACACATCGCTATGACAGGTGTCCTTACATGAAAAGCGTTAAAACTATCGATTGTGTGAAAGTTCACATATTTCGAGGAGGGGGGGGGGGAACGGAGTGACGCGTGTTTGTAGAGAAAACTCTTTCTGCATCTATATGGCTCGATAAATGTTGTTCTATTACTTCGATAGGTCCAATCGTATAAGTTATACATGTCTAGATATTTTGATATGAATACCTTTGCTGATATAATTAATGGTGAAAAATATACTGATAATTTAGTTTTCAACAGTGAACTCTGAAAAATGGGGTTTTAGTAGCTGTGCATAGGTGACAGTTGAGTTGATATACATCTCATACGGAATGCCATCTTCAAGGCTATAATTATCACATACTAAATATGTATTGAGCGCTGAGGTCAAGTGCGTAGGATTATTTCTTTTTGGTTTATTACATCCATATTCTTAAATTTCTGTATGCACATAAACTGGACATGTTCATATCTTTGTCGCTTTGATCCTACCTGCATTCCTGATCGCAATCAAAAACAGTTAACCTAAGTTATTTTTCTCTTTTATCGATGCAAAAATTGCATTAAATAATACTGATCTCTTTTCTGCAATGTATAACAGTGAAAAACTATGCGCATTATTTACAACACAATCCGCACCGTTTCCATTTATGTTTTATTTGAACGTAGAAAAAAAGTTCTTGAAAGAATGGTATGCAAATGTGCTGAGAGATTCAAGGAAGAAAAGGGAAAACTAAAAGTCATCTATTCACTCATCATAATGGGAAAAATTGATTCAACTGTAAACGAATGGTTAAATATGCTCTATCTTTCTGATCAAAGTTCTTAACTTGTTGAGCAGTATCTGTATTTTGAACCAACACTAAGTGATATTAAGTAAAAAACATAATAACCATTGCAATTGATGGCTGTTATGGGTGCTACGGAAAAACTACATGGACTTCCTGTATAAAAGCAAAAGGTTCCTGTTACTGACGCACCAGCTGTGGTCGGTAATGTTCCATTGAAATAACCACCATATGGAGCACCACAAATATCTATGCTAGAGACAGGAGTTGTCAACAGTTGTGTGCCTGCGGCTCCTGAAATACGATACCAACCGGACGGAATATATGAGACTGAATCATACGGAGTCGAACAACAGCCAGAAAAAGTCAGATAATTACGATATGATTCAGTAAGAGTTGTATAGCTATAACATTCCATTGGTAAAGTAACTGAAAAGAAAACATATGAAGCTAGTGCAATAAGACATAAATTACTTAACAACATGTTAAAAAAAGCATTTGGTCCCATATTAAGACAAACGCTAAATATAAAATTAAAATCAATTTTTAATCGTACTATAAACGATTTTAATCTCATATTCACTGGTTTGTTTAGATAAGTTCTGCTCACTTCAATTAGGAGCGAGAGTAAAACTAGGATTACTGAAGAAGGAGGGCTTGCTATTGTTATCTGAGACGGTTGTTGAGCTTGAAGCCGATCCTGATGTTGAACCATTGCTCATCCTTAGAAGTGAACACAAAAATACATACAGAAAAGGGAATATGTGGCAGTTGTGTTCTTACCAAAGCGTTACAAAAACAGCTAATGGTATGCCACACAAAATAAATCCAACCAAAAACAAAACCATTTTTGATGATGTTACTTTTCCTAGGACTGTGTTACAACTAAATGAAGCATAGAAAAAAAATATTAAAGTAAAATTCGCGGAAGTATATGAGTAATTTCGAATCGGAGCGCGCTCATTAAATATATTCAAAATAGATATGAAGACTCTTCCAGTACAACTTCTATCAGATGAAATTTTTAGATGTAATTAATATCATTAGAATGCAAAAATAGGAAAATCTGGTCACTTTTCTATCTACCTCAAAATATTCATTTTCAAAATTTCATATCCAAAAACAAAAATCCGACTCGATGATGTCATTAGTTATGAACTGTGCGTACAATGTAACATATTACACTCGACTTTAAAATATGGTCCAAGTAGTAATCGAGATGGGTCTATTCTTTCCTCGAATACTTCGTTGTTGAGAATATTCTTATTTTATCAAACAATATGAAAAGACTTTGTTAGAGCAACCTCTTTGTGACTGAAATATGTAACTTAAATATACTCTTCAGTCTGATTAGGTTAATGTGGAAAAAATTAAGCGAATGATTTTCATAAACTATAGTTTTTTTCCACGAAAACATAGTAGTAGAGTAATAATCAGTCTTATTCTTGGGTTAATGATCTTGGATAAGGATTAATGGTAATGGATCGAAAATTTTGACTCAAGCCATTCTCAAACAGCTTGTAAAAGATGCCGTACTTAAACTCTGAGTTTGTAGTTGTAGTTGTAGTTTTGTTCATTTCATTATTTCTTCCTGTATTCGATCGGACCAATTGACTTGAATCTAATGACTTGAATCGTCGTTGCCCAATAACGGAAGTATTCGGTTGAGAATTCGATGGATAAACTGAGTTTCCATTCCAACTGTTTAACCGTGACATTTGATTGAAATGAGAATCAGATGACCGTTTAGGTGCGGTTTGAATCGGCTTTTCTGATTTTCGTGGCGCCATCAAATACGAATAAGTTAGGCTTGTATCCTACATTTGTTCAAAAAAATTGAAAATGTATTGATCCTTTTAACACTCAAATGTGAAAACGAAAAACAGCAACACGACGAATCGATTGTAATACCTACCATCCTATTGATTTCAAACGCAATTGTTAATGAATGATGACAAAGCAGAATTCTGTTATTTCAGTTTTTTCAAATTTTTTATGCATGCATAATTATTTGGAATCATACTGCATGATGTTGATTTATTTCTTGAAGAACACAATTCTATTATTTCGATGTCTAATTCTAACATACGGGTGAATGTGTCGCATTTGCATATAGAAGACAAAAGCATGTTCTTCAAATTTTTCCTGCGTAGAAGATCGCAATACAGAGAAGTTAAACAAAATCAATTCGCTTTACAGTGTACTATAGAAGGATTCTGTAATTGTTGCTAAAAAAAACGTAGTCAGCTATTCAAGTGCGTGGGTGACCGATCACTTCGTCGCATTCCCAGGTGAATGAATCCGATACCTAATCCGATCGGATTTTATAAAATCTGACGAGCCGACAAAGTTCAATGGGATTCTGGGTTGAAGAACGGCTAACGGAGCCCTAGTGTTGGAATCCGGTGAACATCCGACCAAATCTAACAACCGAATTCGATAGGAATTTCAGGAGTTGAATTTAAAACGAGGTTCCTAAAGAAACCTATCGGGTTTTGACTGGTTCCTGCAAAAATCGGCCGGATTCCAACACTAGGGATCCATGAGTGGGTCCGCAACCCGGATATGCTTAGAATCCTGCAGAAACCGATCGAATCCGGTTAGATCCGGCTATCGGATTGTTCGTTCTGGGTTCAATTTGACGCACGACAGTTTGTCGCAAGACAATTCGTTGCGCTAAAATAGTCAGCCATGTGCAAGGGCTGAAGTTTAGGAATTCTTCCGATACCTACAAATGCCAACCAAAAGAAATAATATCCTCGAGGAAACGAGAACTGATCAACGAAACCACCACATATCCTCATTCATTTCCCTATCCATTTCTTGAAATTATTCACCCAAATTTGAAAACCGTAACAATTCCAAACCAAAACATCCTTCACATTCATCCCACACATCCTTATGATAGCTGAGATGATCATTACTATACTGGGAACTCAAGAAACATCCAGAACTGATCCTCTCTACCTACGAAAGGAACTGACAAAAGAGAACTCAATTCCACACCACATGTAGCTGGTTCCTATGAAGCAATCTACACCTAAAACAGAAACAATTGAACCATAATAGTTCCATAGACAGTACCTACCAAATGACCAATTTACCTTGAAGGGAAACAGCCTATATCCATTCAGTAACTGTGAAGCTGACGCTTATCGAATACACTTTGGCCATCTTTTTCGATAACAGAAGGCCCCGGGGAACCGAGGAATTATGATAAATCTGTTGATAGTACCCAGGGACTGTCCTGATTACCGTCAAGGGATCAACCCATATTTCCTTCGAGTAACTGGGGATGTGTATGCGAGAATTATCGATTCCCCGGTTCCTCGAAGGAACTGGTGGTTAACCCCTGACGGTAGTAGTGTCAACCCATGGGTACTGTCAGCAGAAATATCATAATTTCTCGGTTCCCCAGCACTTTCCTGAACCCGGGATCAATTAGAACAGTGTTGAGAGACACAACATTTCCCCGGTTACCCGAAGGAAATGTGGGATGAGTTCCTATCAAGTAACTTCGTTAGAATCATGGTATTGTCATTGTGAGGTTTCCGGTAGGAATCGAAGGTTATTCTTGAATAGGTTTTGTTGTATATACGGTTGGTAGTCATTTCCTTGTATTTTTCATGATTGTCGGGTTGGTTCACATAAATTCATTTTGGAGGGACTGACATCGGCTTGTAGCTTTTACCTGAGAAGTTAGACTGTTAGATCGATGATAGCCAATGCCTGCCGATGGAATTGAGTGATTGTCTGGGTATTTTGTGTTGTATCTTACGGAGAAGGTATCGTATGGTGTGCTGTTTGTTAGGGAGATGTCTTGGTATTGAGAAGAATTCCTTTCGTGTCTGTGAGGCAATCGCCAATTCCTCTAGTGCCTTTCTGTTTATTGCTAGTGTTCGGAGGCATCGGACGAATTCCCAATCCTGTTCTTGGACACTCGTCGTAAATGTAAACTGCTATTGAATAATAATTAGATCGATATGATGGATCATAGATCTGTTTTTGTAGAAAAATAGATTTTGTTCTGTAAAATTTTACTGTTACATTGCAAAAAGTCTCCTATTAAATGAAATCCAACTCAAATTTTGTAAGGAGACGATTTCTGATTGAAATCTTGAGCTAAGAAAAGTCAAGAAAAAATGAAAGCAAAATGTGCTCTTTCTTTAGCTGCATAATTCGTTCAGTAATTTCTAGGATACTTTTCTGTGATTCACAAAATTGCTAGATTATTGGATGAACTGATTTTTGAAATTTTTGAAAATGGATTTTTAGATTTTCGATACTGTGAACATTAAAAATAAATAATCCCAATAAATTCTATAAGTCTATAGTATTCTTTTGATATCACTTTTGAGAGGTGATACATTTTTATATAAAAAAATTATTAAAACGAAGAATAATTTTTCTAAAATTTAAATTTAAAAAACTTATATTTTTTACATGCAAAGCTATATTTTGATTACATTTTTATACAAAAAAAATCAAATTTATTATAAATTTAACTTAAATTTTTGGGTAATTAAAATTTAAAAAAAAGAATAAATTGTAACTTTACACTGCTGCCATTTTTCGAAAAAACAACTTGCGTTAATAAAAAAAAGAGCGTTATTATTGTAAAGGAATGCATTTATAAACGTGATGAATCAGTAACATATTCAACTAAATGACTTAACTCAATTAATGTACTCTCTTCTTTACATACAGCTATCTTACCCCAACGAATTCTCATTGCGGCAGTGATCGTGGGACAAAGTGTACTAGTGCCAAGTGCGCGAGACTAGTCAGTATGTTTATTCGAAAACTCATCATCTATATACTATGATTAGTTTTCAAATAAATCTAATTAAAATGAGAATAAGTACTCGAAAATGTAAGTATAACAATTCGAAATCGAATTCAATCTTCTATCAAAAGATTAAAATTGAGAGTTTGAAGTATCCAATCAAGCAATACAACGTTGAAAATGGAATACTGCTTCTTTGAAGCTTACCAACAACGGCTCGTTTTCTTTGTGAAACTAAGCTTGTTGCTTGATATTATGTCGATGACTGTTGATTTCATTTGAAACTACTTTAATTCTCAAACTAAGCTTTTATGAATCCTAATAATTCGAGATACTGGTGGCATATATACTTAAATCGTACCTTCACACTGAACATTCAAACTATCACTGACAGAAACACTTATCAGCATGAAAATCACACTCATACAATTACTCTTTCTAAAATATAGATTCTTTCTCAAGTAGTCCATATTTTGCATCAAACTCACATAACTCTATTAAAACAATGCAGTGATAACTTATGTTTTCCAGCTGATTGATGTAGACACCATGTTTTATATTCGCAAAAAGCAAAAATAGAAAACGTGGCTTCAATAACGTGGTACTCAATATATTTTGAAAACAGAAGAACTCGTTCTCAGATCGTGGCGGTATAGTTGGATACGGTGATTTTTCTATCTTTCCGTTTTCAGTCGGTTCCCACAGCATCCGGTGATCGGAGCGATCGACCCGGGTTTCTCATTAAGGTGGTTTTGGTTTCATAAATCGAGATTTGTCCTTTCGATTGATTTCTTTTTCAAGTAAAACTTAAATAGCATCTATCAGGGACTCCGATTAGAGGGGAGCTNAAAAGTTTTTTGAAATATTTCTTTTTATAAATATGTTGTTTTTACTTATTTTTAATAAAAATGAACTTGGATCATCTATGCTAGATGATGATATTATAAATCAAGGATGTTCTTTTTGACATATACTGGCTGCCAGAAAAAATACTTTCTGCCAAAATTTAGCCCCCCTCACTTCGAAAAGTAATCGGGAACCATGGCATCTATATAGTTCATATTTTCATTATAATGAATAAACCTAATCGAACAGTCTTCAATTAAATCTGCATCATAGAACAAAACTTGAATTTGCAGAAGTTTCCTATTTTCGTTTGAATAAATTTAAAAATCAGTGTTCTAAAATAATAATTCCATGATTTTTTTCTCAAATAAAACAGCAGCCAATCAAATATTAACATTCACACAGTAGGAATCGGCTTCAAGGCAATGTACTAATACTCAAAAATTTACACATCAAATGAAATAACTATAATAATTTCTCTTCGCATTTAATCATTTTATAGACACTCAAATTTTTCATTGATGACTAGCTACAATTAACTAAAAATATTATAGATTTTAATAAAAGTGTCGACATCATCCAATAGCAATAGTCAAAAGTAAAAAATAATCTTTCCTCGTGATACTTGATAAGGTTTATTTGTGCACATACGAACAACAAAACTGGCAAATAATCTATTCTCTATCAACAGTATACCAATTCAAAATGGCCGAAAAAACTACAATTGCTATAATGAGTCCTGGAGATATGGTAAAAATCATATTCATACTGAAATAGATATTCAATCTATTTTGTTATTCTAAAGGGTCATGCAATCGGCCGAGCTCTTCTTTCATCAATTGAAAATAAATTTCGTATAATTACAAATTTAACAGAACGTAGCGAACGTACACAAAAATTATCCAATTCAGCTGGTATTATTGATGTTAAAACCGACGAAGAAATGATTCAGCAAGCTGATTATGTTTTTTCTATTGTTGCTTCATCGCAGGCAAAATCCCTTGCACAACGTTTCGCACCTTATCTACACAAGCACAAGCATGCTATCTACGTTGATATGAATGCAATAGCACCCCAAACGCTATGCTCTATAGATGAACTTTTGCCACATGGAAATTTTGTTGATGGATCCATTATTGGTCTACCACCAGGTACTCCGGGATACAGTTGTACATTATATCTATCAGGTGAACATGCACAGAAAATAGCTGATTTATTTCAATACACAAATTTAATGAAGGTTCGTGTCATCGGAAGTGAAATCGGCCAAGCCAGTAAATTAAAAATGTGTGAAGGATCGTTATTAAAAGGTTTAACTGCGATTGGTATTCAAGCTTTTATTGCAGCAAAATCCTTTGGACTAGACGAAATACTTTTCGATCATTTAAAACAAACCATGCCAGATATATTTGATAAATTAAGTAAATTCATTCCACATACACCACCAAAAGCAGCAAGATGGGCTGGTGAAATGGAAGAAATTTCAAAAATGTTCGAAAGTGTTGGTTTATCTTCTAAAATATTTCAAGGAGCCACTGAAACATATCGATTTATTGCTGAAGAAACACCGTTAGGAAACGAAACAATTGAAGACAGAAAACAAGGACTAACATTACACGATGCCATAGAAATAATGAATCTATCATTGGAGAAAAGTACACTTAATAAATAGATTTAATATGATGCTTTTATGTTAAATAAAATAATTCATAAATAGTCGTGGGAGTTTTTCTAAAGTTATATTATAGAACTTGCTGCAATCATAGTAGGTGAATACAAATGACAGTAAGTTGTATTAATAGAGAAAATAAAGAGCAAGAAAGTCTGGTTTTCATTAAAAAAAAGAAAATGAAAAAAAAATCAATCGCAAATCCATATATCTATAAAGAAAGTAACGGTTTGTTCAATATACAAAGTTTAAGATTTGTAATCAACTGCTGGTAAAATGCTGTTCGATGTGATCTTTCTTCTCATCGAGTGTCATACGTTTAGGAAACTCCCAATAGCACATTGGACAGCTGCCTATTTCAACATTATCATCTGTTAGGGATGCTGGTAATGATGTAATATCGTTTTCTAGTTCATGTCGCTCTTCATTTTTCGCTGGCTCAAGTACGTTTAAACTACGGAGCATGTCTTCAATTGTATCATTATTGAGAGGAGATTCATTTACTAAAGTTGTTGGATTCGTTTGTTCGTGTTGTGCATTTCGTTCGGGCGCAACGCCTTTGAGGTATAATTTTTTATATTCATCAGCTGCAGTTGATAATCGGTTCGTTAAATCTACAACTGTATGTTGTAAATCATTCTAAAAATAGAAAAAAAATTAATTGTTTTATTGTAAAAAATATCTTCAAAAGTTAGTTCGCTCAAAGTGTATTAACAAAAAAAATCCCATTGAATTTAAACTGTTTGTTTGAAATACTGAAATGCCATATGATGAGACAAAACCAACTTGAAACTTATTCTTAAATAAGGAGATAACTTACAATCGACTTGACATTGAATCCCAACTGTCGTTTAGCTTCAATTTCACTTTTTTGATGTTTAACACAACGTTTTTCAATTTCAGAAAATGAAACTTTTAATGCCATATACGCTTGTTGACAAGAGTTCATGTCGTTTAACTGAATTTTCAGTGATTCAATTTCTTTTTGTGCCTAAATAGAAAATATATAAAAATCAAATCGAATCATTGATTTACTGTTTTCTTACTGATTCATTCTCGATGCGATGTTCTTCACTTAATTGATCGATTTGTCGTTGCAATTCTTCGTTTCTTTTACCTGCTATGACTGAAGATTCATAATCAGCTTTTAACGAACTTGATTTTTCTTGTAATAGATTATTATTTGTCTGTAAATCAATGATTTGTTCATCTTTTTCAGTAATTTGTTTTGCATATGCATCTAATTGTGTTTGATTTTTTTCTGATGTTAAACGTAAATCACGTAATTGTTGTTCAAGTAATGCTTGACGTTGATTTGCCGATTTCGATAACTCATCAGCTTGCATCAAACGACGTTGTAAATCAACAATTTGTGTTGCTTGATCTTTAGCTAATTGAGATGTAATGGCTAATTGTGAACGAATTTGATTTGCTTCATTTGATACTCTAGCAAGAGAATCTTCCACTGTACAACAACGTTCTGCATGTTGTAAAGATTCAGTTTGATATTGATTACATAGTGAACGGCATTTATCATATTCAGCGCGTAGTTTAGATTCGAGTTGTTCTCGAGATGATAATGTATCGATGGCTACTTTATGTGATGCAGTCAATTCCTAAAACAGAAGTTTGTAATTTAATTGAATTATACAAATAATTAACTTGAAGGTATTTGATACATCGATAGGTATTTTCTTTCTAATATATGAATACAGCAAAAATATGTTTTTGCCTTGAATAGTTCGCAAGAAAAATATTGGATTAACTTGAAAATCGCAAGGCTTCACATTGAAATACAAGCCTACTCATGGGCAAAATCTCAAATGAAAATGACGTCACCTAACTCGTTGGTATTTACTATGCCAGAACCGAAAAATGCCTATAGCTCTGTAGATTCTGATCGTGTTTTTTTTTGTATCTCTAATGGGATTCTAATGTATGCACTCAACTCGAATATAAAGGAAACATCAAAAAAGGAAAAATGTTTTACTTCTTGTAAAACGTCATATAAAAATTCCTACTGCGTTTTTGATGCGCAGAGCTTGAAGTTAAGTAAATATGATGTGTGGAAAACCAGTTATCTTTACAGCGAATGTTTCAATCACGTGAATATTATCTTATTCTTTCTCTAAACAACGATGATAATCATTCTTATCGGAAGAGATTTATCAATGACTAATAGTATTAATCACATTTTTTGCATGACATACTTGCATTTCGTTGGAAATTTTTTCACATTGTTCTTTAGCTTTAGCTTCTATTGATTCTAATTTTGCTTTATATTCATCATTTTGGGATTCAAATCGACGATTTATTTCTAATAGTTGTCGATTTTCTTGACGTAATTTTTCTTCTGTTAACATCTGTTTCGTATGTATAACAAGAAAATCATCATTTTCATGATCGGATAATGCAATAAAACTATCAGGTTTGGTTTTTCGTACTGGTGCATTTGATAAAAGATCAATATCATCGGGTGCACAATTCAATTGGAATGGTATCGATGAACCAAGATTTTTTGTTTTATTTAAAATATAACAAAACTGATAGAATTCATCATCGGTTACAGGTAATGATGCTGATGGAAATGCTGCTATACCATGACAAGTCGCTCCTGATGATGCAGATGGAGTGAATTGTACAGGAGCATATGCTACACACTCTTTAATATTTGTGTAACCAACCTAGAAAAACAAAAACACTATTATTCATACGATACAAATGAGTAATTCTTACGCGTAATAACCCAATTTGGTCTTCTTCTGAGTTGACCTTTATGTCATGTAAAATGGTGAAAAATGCGGTAACATCTGCGCCTTTTACATATTGATCAGCAACATTTTCGAAAACAACTCGATCATCGGGTTGTCGTTCGAAGGAATGATCAAGTGGCCAATTTAAATCTGAACTGGTGTCGGACAAATGATCGTTTATGTCACTCATGATTGTTGAATGTATCGATGTGTGAAAAGCAAAAAAAAAATTTTATCTGAAAAGAAAACCTCTAATTATATACCTATGTACAGGTAGATGCACTATGGACTTTGCAAATATATCGATGAATGATAGATGCGTGATATAGAGTGTGCATATTCTAATCAATTTACAAAATAAATTGTCTAAAAGAAAAACGCACGGAACGTCGACGCCTTAAACCAACTTCAACGACAGTAATGATAGAAATGTGAAACTTGTTGTTGCTTTTATTTAAAAAAAATGATTACTCACAGAAATTACGTCATTCATTTACGATATACGACGAAAAAGAAATTTCCATATGCCAATGTCCTTTTTCTCCACTCAAGAATATTCAAGATGAATATTCATATAGCGACCTCTTCTCGTCGAATAAGGCTTATGAATCATCACAATCGAGGCCATTGACAATAATAACTAAAATGGTGGAGTATTTGTGGATTATTCTTTCTTGAAAAACATTGTTGGATTACTACATTTAACTGATATTAGATTTAGCTGAAACATCATCATGGTATGATTTTAGTTAGTTTATATTTAAAATACATGTTTATTTTCTTAGGGGAATATGACGTCAATACCCGTTGAGCTTTGTGCAACATGTAAAACAGCTCTTCTTTTTATTTGTTTGTTTATTTTTATGAATTGCTTTTGTAGTTGATGCCGATGAAATCCGCCGGTTAGGTAAACGTTTTAAAAAACTAGATATCGATGGTAGTGGTTCATTGAGTGTACAAGAATTTATGTCTATACCTGAACTCCAACAAAATCCACTTGTTCAACGTGTTATTGATATTTTTGATACTGACGGCAATGGTGAAATTGATTTTAAAGGTAGAATTAGAAGCAATGAATTTTGATAATAAAATAAGTTCTGACTTTTATTTTAGAATTTATTGGCGGTATTTCCCAATTTAGTGTAAAAGGCGATAAAGAATCAAAACTTAAATGTATGTCTATCCATGTTAATAAGAGCATAATTAATAGTCGTTGTTATTTTAGTTGCTTTTAAAATTTATGATATGGACAAAGATGGATTTATTTCCAATGGTAATTAAGTTTTGATTATTATAGTATCGAACGTTTGTTTTTCTACTAACAAATCTTGAGATTTTCAGATAAATATTGTAAGTGATGATAGAAACAAATATGACATAGATCGGATATCGAAGGATAATTCTGTAAGTGCATCATGTTGATCGACAATGAAAAAAAGTTTGTTTTCTTGTTGACACTAGACACCAGTAGATCTTTTTTTTGCGATTCGATAGAGAAGGAAATTGTTTTATCAGTCGTTGCCTATCGAAATTATTTTTATATTAGGTTTTCTTGTTATCGATTCGTAAAATAAATATGAATTAATTTAATGCTCTATGCAAATCTGTTTGTCCCTCGAGTCTATGAAACAGTTACAAGGAAAAACTATTATTATTTTGTTTCTAGGCGAATTATTTCAAGTGCTAAAAATGATGGTCGGATCTAATTTAAAAGATTCTCAATTACAACAAATTGTTGATAAAGTAAATAAAAAGAAAAAACAAATTTTTATTTTAAAAGAAAAAAACCTATTTTACTTTGCATTTTAATCGAATAGACGATCATAAATGCAGATAAAGATGGAGACGGAAAAATAAGTTTTGATGAATTCTGTGCCGTAAGTAGAATAATTTTTGATTATTTAAACTTTTTTATATTCTCATTGCTCTTCTTCTTATTGGAGTTGTCTTTACTGTTTCTCTTGGTTAATATATGTGTGTATATATATATATATACAACAGTATGTAAAAGAATTATTCGGGTACCATACTAAACGAATTTTGTTGAGTGAATTTCTGAGTGAAGGAAATATATTTTTTAAACTCTGATTACATCATTCGATAGGTCATCATCTCTACTGTCTATTGCATAGAAAATAATTTTTCCATTATGTAGTTTTTATAAAATTTTAGAAGGTTTTCCCAGAAGCACTCGATTTCTCAAATAAAAAATTATTCGAACACTTGTATTTTTTTCTTTATCACAGCTAGAGAATTGAATTCTCTACAAGCTTGAATCGTTTAAGTACTTTTGTACTTCAACTTAGTTGTCTAAAAATTGAGAATATTAGATGAAGTGTATTGAATATTAATTTGAATTATAAACTATTACACATAATATTTCAGAATTTTAAAACACAAAAGACATATTTGGGATCAGCGGTTTTTTCTCTCTCAGATGATATATTTTGAGTTGGGTTTTCATTTTTGGGAAGCCAAAAGACGATGACTTTCTGTAAAATCTATGATGCTTCAGACATCGAGAACTTTTCGGCATGATCTTAACATTTGTTTTTCAATTTTTATACACATACCAGTGTGTAGAGAAATGTTTTCTCTATCAGATGCTATGTAATTCAAAATGTCTCGATGCAAAACAGAGCTGTGATAAAGAAAAAAAATACAAGTGTTCGAATAATTTTTTATTTGAGAAATCGAGTGCTTCTGGGAAAACCTTCTAAAATTTTATAAAAACTACATTATGGAAAAATTATTTTCTATGCAATAGACAGTAGAGATGATGATCTATCGAATGATGTAATCAGAGTTTAAAAAATATATTTCCTTCACTCAGAAATTCACTCAACAAAATTTGTATAAGTAGGGCGTCCGAATAATTCTTTTACATACTGTTGTATATATATTGACTTTCGTGTTGTATATCCTTCTTCTAGTTTATCCCTACTTATGAGCTCAACATAAGTTTGCCGAGTAATATCAAGATATAAATTATCAAGGGTAATATTTTATATTGTCTGTTCGATTAGTATTGTAATTGTTGTATCGCTTTATGTCAACATATAATGTTGTCATCGCTTTTTATAGAAGCTTATTTTTTTATTGTTTCATTTATTTTACGATTTATTGTGTTTTAGTGTGTTGGAGATTCATTAATCGACGATATTCAAAAGAAGATGACAGTGGCCGTATAAAGAAAAACAAACCTAAACGAATATGCGTTTTTTTCCTCTGCTTTTTTTAATACCCAAAGAACAATATATGCTCAATGCACTCACAAGCACACACAAACATTGCTGTTTTTTTTTAATTCCTCAATATATACACGCATATACTTCGTACTGATATTCGCCAATGGATTTTCTTCTCAATATTCTGTTTGCTGAATCTCGGAGTGTTCTATTTTGTTGTGTTTTATTTGCTGTGTCTCTATGTTTATGTATGTGTGGAACATAAGCAGTGAGATTTAGTATTAACAATATTAATATAATATTCTATTGTGTATTGTAATGTGACCTAGTTTTTATTATTGTCGCATTTTTTTATCGTATATTTTTCTTTCTCTTTTGCCAGTATTTGTCGTATTGTGGGAGTGTCGAAGATCAAAAAAAGAGGAATCGTTTTTTCTCGTTCCTGTACTAACAAAGGGCAAACTCATGTTGTAATTAAAAATAAGAACATCATTTAAATAGATGCACCAATGATGGTACAGATAATGAACTGAAAAGACTGTGGCAAAACTGTGTTTTGTCAGATGATTACCCAAGACGAACAACATGATCTTGGGATATAGATAATATTGTTATAGAGATAAAAACTTATAAATCCTCAGAGAAAAGTCTTTATTTATGAAGTATACAATTCTTCATTATAAAAGAAAAGCTGCTTTACACAAATGTCGTCAGTAGAAATGTTTGTCTCGATATGGAATGCCTTATTTTTTTGACATTGATGCTGCCATTTTAGAAATAACAATACCATAAATAACTAATGATATAGCTCCTACAACAGCTGTAGACAACAATGTATCAGCAACCACGGGCTATTTACATCGTTGAATAATACCACTCGGGTTGACTATCTGAACCGATGGATAAGTAGATGTTACTATATGAATAAAACGGAAAAGGACAAATCAGTAACTATATGTGCTTACATGTTGAGATGGTGCTAGTTGTTGTTGTTCTTATTGTTGAACTTGTACCAATACCTAAATATATTGAACTAATAATTGCATATTGTTCGCAGTAAAAAAAAGCTTACCCGTATAAAGTGTACTCGAGCTCGGAACAGTTATTCCAGTTGTAGTGATATTTGCGTTAGCTGCTGTTGTTGATGCACCCAATGTTGATACAGTAGGAATAGATACTATTGTTGTGCTTGCTGTTGTCTGTCCAGTTAAATTACCATAAGCAACTGAATTGAAAATATTGTATGTCCAAAAGTTTGAATCAGTGATTGGTTCTGATTGTGGACCACACTCATTCAGTACCCGTTACGACACCACTGTATGAATCGTTAAATAATTTACCGTGCATGTTGGGAAATAAACTTACTTGCCAAATAAAATGTAATAACTTTCACCCTAGGAAAAAGTAAATTGAAAAATTTAATTGGAAGAAAATAAACCTTGTGGAAACAACGACTTGCAAGTGTCCATGTAAATTGTGTGCAGAAGATCAAAGTAAAGTTTGAATAGATAACATTGGCTGCATTAGTGCTTGCATCAAGTGCATACACTTGTGAGGCAGTCGATAGTTGAAAAAAAATCGAATAAATACTACAACTGGTGAATGAAATACAGCTTTAGTACATTCAACACGTCATGATGATTGATTAGTGAGAACTGTACCCACTGGAGACTATTAAAGTGAAGAATAGAAATGAAGCAATCGTTCAAATTTAGATCTATACTGTAGTGCCATTAACATAACTTGTATAGATAAGTTCAGGTGCAGCAACACCAACAAGATCAGTAACGCATTGTGTATCACCTTGTTGACCCAAACTATCGATAGGTGTATAACAAACAAGATTGGAGCTTTGCCAAAAGAAAAAAATCATAACGAAAATGATTTGAAATTCAAGATATCAACGAATAGTGTGCTAGCTAAGTAAACTTTGACTGAATTAGATTCTATTCTTGGGGATATCATTTATCCTTTGGAAATATTATATGCGAAATAGGATCTTCTATTCAAGATAATATTATTTATTTCGGCTAAGAAAAAAATACTCACTCCAAACATATGCTGGTGGTATCCATGTCATTGTTATTGAATAGACTAATGCATTGGTGGTTAATTGAGTGATTACGTCACGAGTCATACCTATGCATTGTTAATTGAGAAGATGAACTATTTATCAGCAAGATTCAAATACCAGGAGGTGAAGCTGTGAGCACATCTAAAAGTGTTACACCTGTACAACCAACACAAGCACCAACTGGATGATTTCCTGTGTATGCTGGTCCTATTTTCATTATTAAAATCTCAATTGTACTTGCAGTGAGGTTTTGTTAAAAGCTTACCAACGATGCAAGTACTACTCGATGTGTAGACTTGAACCAGAAATTGTAAAAATGTGGCCGACCTGCAAACATACACAATCTACTAGTTTCAACAAGATAACAGTAGTACATACAAGAAGTTTTTTTTCCAAGTAAATTCATAGTCTTCCATCATCAAACTAACAGCCCAAAAGCCAACGGCTGATGCTGTGTATGACACTAAATATAGGAAAATGAATAGATGTAGGTTTTTTCCCTCTATCTTGATATACTCGTGCAATTATCTGTGATAAGCGTTGCTCTAGGAAAAGTATTACAAATTCCAACACATTTATCAGCGACTACACCATTTGGTACTGTGGCGGTCGCACTAGCCCATCGACATTTAACTGTATCACCACCTGTATCAGCAGTAGATATTAGCCATGTATATAAAAAAAAAACCTTGTCGAAGCAATCTGACAGGAACAATAGCAGAAGTTGGTGCAGTATTGTAGTACCCATCAAGTCGCATACAGGTACTGAAGTGTAGAAAGACATTGCTAAGATATTTTTATACTCAATGTGATTTTTGATAGTATAATATTATTTAAACTTGTACGAAGTATCATTATTTTTTAATAGCTATGTTTTTTTTCCTTCCATTAATTTTATTACTAAATCTACTGATTTAGATGACTGAATAGCTGCATTGAACTGAGAGTTTAATGATAAAAAAAACTAGGATGTCTTTTTTTACGAATGTCAAAGAAGAATTACATTAGATTAATGAAGATTATTCCAAATATGAAGCAGTCACATTCTAAATGGCTATTGATTTATGAGATGGCTTTTACCTCTCGTCTATTTAATATAATTCCATAAAATTTCCTCGTCAATATTTTGTAGTTGTATTAGACAAAATACTCGATTAACATATAGAAAAAAAAGAACTTCAGTTGCATCTGTTTTGCCAGTTTTTTTATTATTCAAAACGAAACTAGTCATGAATTCTTCTAGTCATCTACAGAATTTTTGCGTCAGATTGACAGTTGTCGTATGTAGAAAATCAGAAGTACATATATCTTCAGTGTTATAAATTTAGTTAACTGAACAACCCCATATTTGATACACACGGGAGCTTTGTTTTTCATAACTATCTTCATTAACAAGCAAATCTTACTTTAATTTTTTATAGATCACGCTTGAATATAAAATGAAGATATACGTAAATCCTCAAGCGTGATAATATAGATTTATTTCTATCATAAAGCGATTAATAGAGTAGATTAAGTCTCATTAGTAACATTTTACGGCAACGAAGAAAATTTATTGATTAAATTTTAATACTTTATCTGTGTAGTAACAGCCCAATTGCCACCTCCTGTTTGAAGTGCTACTCAAGCACCGCCTGTGAACGATAGAGCGACCATAATGTTTGGAGAAAAGTTTATTATTGTTGATGATTGACCAGCACTCGTGTCTTGTGAAACACTAAAATCAGTACATGGTACAGCTGCATTTACAGGACAACCCAATGAACCACGCTGACTGTCAATACAACACACACACTACCAACTCCTATCAAGCCACCACTGTTAATAGTTGTTTGATCACAAAAATAAGAACTACGACGCCAAGCGTGACGTTGAGTAAATGATGTTGGAACTGGATTTTGATTAGGGGGTCTGCGGATAGACGTATAATAGTAAAACCATAGAGAATATGATGAGAATGAGTTAACAGGCTCCGAGATAGTTCGCTTGATTCGAATTAGATTTTCATAAGTTAGTCGAAAAAGATCATCATCAGTTGAAAATTATCGTCGAAGTTAAAAAGTTAGATATTCAAGAGAATAAAAGAAATGCCATTTTAACTGACTTCTACGAGTTTCGGTTGTCTTTTTTTATGTAGATTTCTATTCCTATTAAATAGAAGTGAAACATACACTGAATTTCATGACGGACTTTATCAACGTTTTATTAAAAATTTCATAGTGATATTCTGACTTTAGAAGAATCGTGCCATCAAAACGTGACCCGAGTATAATTTTCCCAATCTAAAAAGTTTAACTTACAGGTTTCCATGTAAAGAACCCGCCTCGATAGTGAGACGCTCCAATAGCTATCGCTGCTACACATATATACAACACGTAATATAGTCATTGCATGTTTATCCTGTGCAAAAACAAATAATCGAATGGATACTTTTTGTTTTGTTTTATAGACCGCCGAAATCAGGCATGAAAACAAACGGAGGCATTCAGTCTCCATTTTCTACCATTAAACTTCGAGAATGACAGTATGTGCATTATTATTCTCAAAACAAAAACCAAATTGTCGTTTCATCGACATCAAACGGTACAACTGCTATGATGGTCAATGGAATTAAATCCAATCAAAAGAGAGTATGATGTTTGATGATCAGCTTTGTGTAAACTGTGACTTGTTTGTGTTTAAGAAATTTTACAAAACATAAGTGAAACAAACACAGAAAAAGAAATTCGGTCCTGTTGAATGAAATCGACGAAAATATTAAATATTTTGGATGCTAAATTTTCTTATAATAAAAGTTAGAATGCCTCATTTGATTTGTTTATTATTGGTTTTTCATTCTGAAATTATCTTTCCCTAATTGAGAACATCACGTTCGGTGCAACAGTCAAAAAAAATTTCATTTTCCATTAAAATTATTTTTTGTGTAAGAGAAAAATTGTTGAGCACTTGTTCAATTGAATTCATTTGATGTGCACAGTTATGTTGAGGGTAACAATATTAAGCATTTCTTCATTTTTTTAGCAGGAAAATGAAACGCTAGAGCCAGCTAAAACAAAGTAAATTCTTATTCAACAACGGTTACTGTAGCCCGGTACAGATTTTGAGTCAAATAAGTTATCGAATGTTGCTTTTTTGCGAAGAAGCTGCAGTTTTCAATTCGATTCTATTTGAATTTATTCGTATTTGAGATGAAAACCTTGAAACATGATATTCAGTGACAAATTCATCGTCAATGAAGCGATCGTTTTTTCATTTCGAACACCAAATTTTGTCTTTTTTCGTACTAATACTTTCATATTCTATTCTTCTCAATATAATACATGATTAATCTTGTTTTTCATAGGTATTCTATCGACTACATTTTCAATACGCTATTAAATATTTTTAGAAGGTCAAAAATACTGATGATCATTTTCATGTTGATCAAACGAAGAATGTAGGAAGTCAATTTATTATCGTTGATTATTTTACTAGTTTCTCTCTTTAGATGCATAAGCACGACGTTTATTCTTATGTTTCTATTATTTAATCTTTTCTATGCTACGGTTGATCGATTACATACGAAAATACACATGCATTCGTACAGTAAACAATGTCTGCATCAGCTAAAACTACTATCCCATATGAGGCAGTTATAGTTGATGTTAATTCTTTAGAAATTGCTGGCCGTCTTATTTGTTCGATTAAACAAAGATGGACAACAAATAAATTAGTTTTCAAAAATTTAAATAACGACGATCATCTTGTTCGTTATGTTGTATTTTTAAAAGACAATGAAGATGAAGAGTCTAGTGTGATTCTTAGAATTTATCCAACAAGTTCAGATGTATACACTGATCATCAAGAGCAACTTCGTTTACTCACTCATTTAGCTCAACATCAGCAAGCGCCACATATTTTATTAACATTTACTAATGGATATTTTTCTAGTTATATTCAAGGGAAGATACTTGATATAAGAGAACAACGAACACAGTGAGTTTTTCACCTAAAAATATTTTATCGATTGTTGCTATTATTTATTTTTAGTGAATTAATTGCTCAAAAAATGGCTAAATTACATTCAATTCCAATAAGATTTCATGGCCCACAACTACCCGATAAATTAATGCATTTTATTGATTTATTTACTAGTAAAAATTTAGCCTTACACGATCGTCTTCTCAAAACGAAGAAAGAAAATGAAAATTCCAATAGTCAAAATAGTAAAAGTGTTTTCAAATCATTAAAAACAGCTATTGGTTTCAATAAACCTCCGGTATTTCCATTGACATTGGTTGAACTTGAATTAAGATTAAGAGATACTTCGTGGACTGAAATTTCCGATGATATTGATCGTATGAAATTGATTTTTGACAATAATTGGTCCTCGCTCAAGATTCCTACTGTATTATGTATTAATAATATGAAAATAAATAATTTTGTATGCGATATAAAAGATCAATCTGTATCAATTATTGACTTTGATCACTGTTCACATAATTATTATCTTATTGATATTGTTTCATATTTTCTCGCAATAGCAAAAGATAATTATGATACGAAATATCCGGCACGTCCCTTACAAAAATCATTTCTCATTCAATATCTTAAATATTCAAAATTGAATTTGTCAACAATAATCTATAATCAATATCAGCCGAACGATTCTGAGCTAGAATATTTATGCTATTTATGCGATTCACTGATCGCACCCATTCATCTTTATTGGGCTCTATGGGCATTTTTACAAGCATTACTTACAGAGCCTACATCGACATTTGACTATGTTAATTATGGTAAAATTCGACTTGCTCAATACTACAAGCATCGAAAGGATTTTTTTCGCTCTGAAAATCATACTGAAAAAGATATGCCAAAATTTTAATTTTGATTTTCAAAATAAAAATAATACTAAGAAGTCAAACACATAATTACTAATCTTGAGTTTCTGGACTATTGTGAGACAATTTCAATGTTCGAACATGGAAATAATCTACTAGGGAATGATCTGAATTTACATTATAATTATTTTTCTTCTATAACAATACTGCGTTGATTTTTCGTTCAACAAAAACGATTCTAAGCCACGGTCAATAAAGCCTTGACATTAATGATGACAAGCTTGATTTACAGCAACTCTACGGATATATTAAACCGTTCTGTCCTACCGATAAAGATTGAGTTTATCTATGTTTGTTTTGCCTAAAGAACTTGAATCCAAATTGCTATTAAAAAGTCATGTTTAATCAACAACGATAAGTAATCGATAAATAAACAACATGCTACAAAAGCTAGAATTCTGCTCGATTATCACTGAATTTACGTAATAGTAACAAGTGAAAAGCATTCATGTCAACAGTTATTGATGAACATATCAATTGTATGATTGATTCATTTGCTGTTGAGGTAATAGCTGATTATTATCGGCCGCATTTTGCTGGTGATCATGTTCTGCGCGAAAAATAGAAATTGTAAAATGAAAAATACCGATCGTTTTTTTCTTCTATTTACCGTCTTCGCGATCTTCTGCGTCATATCCATGATTCTCATGCTCTCCATCTTCATGACGCTCTTGATTACATTTATTTTCTTGCCCATCTTGACCAGCAACAATATGGCCGACTCGTCGATGGCCTCGACCTTTACATAGAAGTAAATTATATACAAAGAAACTAAATTTAAGACTTGCCATGTCTGTGGTTGCGTCCTCGGCCACCTATGATACAAAATGGCTACTAAAGATTTAAAAATGAAAAAAGAAAGTGAGTATACCTCTACTAGCATTCAAACCCGTGCGTGCATGTTGTGCACAGAGCGCAGCTTCCCGATGCAACTCAATTGCAACTGTTTGAGCTTTCATAGCAGCTACAAATAATAAAGTTCTAATTATATAGGTTTTTAACATATTAACAGGCATATACCAGCTTCTATTTGCGCAGCATATTGATATGCAGCTTTAGCTTGTTCGTGTAGAATTGCTGCTTCATGACTAGCTGCAGCAGCGGCAAGTCGCTCTTGATGACCAGCATATCTTGGATTGTTTGGGTTGAGTTGATTGGCATGATTATTTAAATCAGCCTTGGTCCGAGCAACTAAATATAAAATCAATTAATATTACATTATACAAAAAATCCTCAGTGGCTCTGGCGAACAACAGAAAAATTTTCTTGAGATTTTAAGCATTGAAAACTTCTGTATTGTATTTCCTATCAAGAAAAAACAATCTACCTTTTGGATCAAGATTACTACGTGGATTTTTACCAATAACACCTGCTCGAATAGTAACAACTTGATCGGCATTTGCACTGTCTTCACTTGAAGACATCTAGTCGAAATACGTATAGTAGCAGTTATAGGTTCTGAAATAGAAAGAATTCATGTTATTTTACGTTTTATTTTAGTTATGTCAGTAAGTACGCAATAATAGTAAGATAATTTCGTAGTTTCTTCTCTATCGAATATCTATTCTATCCAACTGTAGAAAGGAAAGAGAAAAAAAATGTTTTCGTGTTTTATTATATCAGGGTAATTGAGTCGAGCAAAGAATTTAGCATGCGAAAGTACACGTGACTTTAGATCTATGATTATTAATTTCTGAATTAAGCAGTAAAAGTTGAAGAAAGATCCAAGCACTTATGTTTTCGAATAGAATTAAGTCAAGATGGTAGTAAACTTTTGATTGTGATGATATGACAGATTGAAGGTGATTATTATCTACTTTTTAATGAATCCGAATAGATAGATAATTTAATAAAAAAAGACAATGTTGCTGCCTTGAGCACACATGAAGACTTAAAATTCTCCATTGTTCGAATATTTCATCGAAATTTTTATCTCATGTTTAAAAAAAAAGAATTTTGATTCATTGCGTAGAATTCAGTACGATTCATTTATATTTATACTTTTAATTGAACATGCGTCCTTCCGTAAACTCTCCGTATAATAGTATGCTGAAAATAATTTATTTTCTCTATTCTAAAAATAGAATGGTGGTTGAGATTATAGTAAATTTGATGGTTGATACAGTTCTTTATATAAATTCGTAGTAAACTATCAGAAACTTGTTGAACCTACATGTATTTCATTCCTTTTTATCGTATGTCTGCTAAGATGTAAAACGGCGCGTGAAAAATGCCAAGGCAAAGTGATTTTTAAAGAAATATGTTTTTAGGTTGCTAGATACATCGCGCTCAAAGCGTATTGTTTTAACAGTTCAAAAAGAATTTAATCTAAATAGTAAACAAGAGAAGCACTGAATTCTTCATAAGAGTATCAACTTTACTTGCAGACATTGTTCTCAATATAAAAATAAAAGTCATCCGTGATGACAATTTTCATAGAATAAAGCACGAAAGGAAGTTTCTCAACGTCAATTATACAATATTATTGATATAGATAACGCGTGAGAATTATCAAGATCAATTAAAACGACAATATCAATATCATATTCTCTACTATTATAATGTTGACTAACACCAAAAACTAAGTTCGAACTAGGGCTTATTAAATTCATTAACAACAGAAATCAGATCTTCGGAAAATCTTTTGATCAAGTTTAAAATTCATACACAAATATTTCTTGAGTCCATTTACTTCTTATTCAAACGAAAGTTCATCGAATTTTTTATTTCATTCACTATAGACATAAAGTAGAGCACTTCTGTGAAGGTCAAGTTTAACTCTTCCAGGGATTCTGTTGTTATTATAGCAGGTATTACATGTCTGCACATTAACAAGTAATTATGTATCCTGCTGAAGTTTAAAATCACATCTGCCAATAGCTTTATCAGAGCAGGAAAATCATATCATGATTGCAGATAAGAACAACTAAAATGTACGTGAAATACAGTTATTTTTCGGTAGAGTAATGATTAATTTTAATTAGTAGTCTTTTTACTCGCTAGATTATGTGCCAATCCATTTCAAACGTTACTTTATATATTAAAAAAAAACCTTGTATTCTAAAAATATTGGGTATTACACTCATATATTCAATGATTTTTTTCTGTCTAGTTGATTAAATATGTTTTTTTTCTTCTTCATAGTTCACATTTAGAGAAAGATTCTTCAAGAGTCATGATTACATTTGCAATGCATCGAACTTCATTGCTGATCAAGCTTAGTCTAACACTTTTTTCGTTTCTTTTTTATCAGAACTATTAAATATTAGCGGTAGACATAATCGATCGGCAGTTTCCATCTTTCTAATTAAAACTATTGAATTAACCCTAGTAGCTAAGTAATGCAGTTGAATGCATTTCGACTTTTGTTACATTTGTAGTATCAGTTCTATCTGATAGACATGCTTTGTTCGGTTATAAACTGGCCATTACTTCTATAATAGTAAGTAATTGTATTGTATTGTATTGCATTGGTCGTTTTTTTAATAGGAACGAGCAATAAAGGGTTATGTGTGAATTTGAAATAAGTGCAACAAACCGAATAAATAAGACTCAAAAATATGATGAGGAACTTTACAATAGACATGCAGGATGCCGATTTAAATTAGTGTTTCACCGAATCATTCGGCCACTTGCTCATATGAAATAAACGTTTGTTCGAATGGGTTTAGTTCTTCTCAGTTCATTGGTCAGTTGTTCGATTCTGGGTATCAGTAGTGCATTCTATTCTGTGGTTAACATGATATATGTTGATCTACTGGAAACGGATGCAAAATAAAACACCAAGAAAAGTTTGTCACTAAGTCCACTAATGTACATTGGTGAACTGCAAGAACAATCTTTCCTACAATCAGAAAAAAATTTATTGTTGCTTTTTTCTTGATGACCAAATAAGATATTGTAAATAACAATATGCAATATTTTATTTTTATACTTAATTAGATTCGGGCATTGGGATTAAATTTTTTTTTGTCTGTTATACACCATGTGAATGATCTATTTTTGGGTGTGGGTGTCAGTATTTGATGAAAAACAAAGTATTCGTAGATTTATCTATATATTTCTCTATGATTAAGTCATTCATCAATCAAATAGCTATGTAATTTGAGGGGATTGTTCTCGATGGGCTTGCCTTCTTACTCGAATTAAATACAATTATCCAAAGACATCGTTTCTTTTGAAAAAAAACCTTAACGAATAGCATTAAGTGTAAAGATTTTGTATTAGCACTGTTGAACTACATTAGTTATCCTGTTGAATGCAACAAAAATAACATTTACTTATGACAACAGTAGATCGACGAAAGAAAAAGAATCGATAAACAAGTATATAGAGTAGACAAAAGATCCTATTACAGTAAAATTAAGTGTCTATTATTATGTAAGCTGTCGGGCAACGAATGACAGTAAGAGATAGAAAGAATGTCATTTATTTTAATTACCGTTGTTTAGACCCGATCGTGCAATATTGACTTGTCTTTTTTGCTCGTTTGCTCATTAGACGGTCTTTCTCCGATTTGATAAGCCAACTGACTCGGCCGCTTGCTTCTTCTTTTCGTTTTGTTCTCTATTACATTGAAAAAAGCCGTGTGAATTAACACATGGTGTTGTCTTTTTTAAATCTATTTCATTTTCAATTCCAAGTAAAATTTTCCTTGTTTTTCTAAAATTGATTTTTTTCTATTGTGCATCATTATAGTTCGATTCATGTAGTATATGTCACATAGTGACATCAACAAAAGAATATGTTGGTGATTATATTTTATGATTATGTCATTTGATTTAAGTCGAACACAAAATCCATTTGGTGGTGGAGGTTTTTTAGCTGATCCTTTTCTTGAGCTTGCAGCAGGAGTAACAACTCCTGCTATACCAAAATCAAATAAATTCGATCCATGTGTATCAAATGGAGCTTTAGCTGGTTCAATTATTGGCACTTTAATCATGTGCACTTTTATAGGATTTCTTACATGGTTAATTTATATACGACCGAAATTAAGAGGTTTTTTCTATTTAATTTTATTGATTAAAATAGTTTTCTGTTGTTTTCGATAGAATTACATTATATGCATTTATATGAAAGCCGTAGAATAGCAAATAGACAGCATCTGCATAGTATTCCTTCTTCTGCGAATTCTAATCATAAGCAACAAAGTAAAAGGCAATATCATGATGATGATGAGGGTTGGTTTTATGTAATATGTAATCATTGATATAAATATTTACTTTTGTTTTTACTAGATAATAGTGCTGTTCAATTACCAATAGATGTTACTGATTGTAAAGTATGTATGTATTTTATTGAACTGTAACTAATAGAATCTTGTCCGCAAATACAAAATCTTGTTTTACATCTCATTAAGAATATTTATGTTCATCGTTTTAAAAAACCTAAACTTTATCTTATGTCTAATTGAAAAGAATTCTCTATTGCAAGAAGAAGTTTACATTTTAATTTATAAAGTAGATAATCATATCTTGTTTTAGTTTGGCACATTTCCTTTTCGTCAATCGCAAACCGCGAGTGTCAACGGTCACTATAATCGAGTTGATTGGTTGAATCGTATTTCATGTTCATTTCGTTCAGTGAATATGGAGAAAGTTCGTTTTTGTGTTTAGTAATACTTGTATTTTTTAAATGTTTTTTTTTCTAAAACTACACTAGGATTCGGAAACGCTTGATATTCCATTATTAGATCCAACATTCAGTGGTCTTAATTTTAGTATAACAGGAAATATGCGTGCAGGTATATTTGTTAAAGAAATAATTGATAAAGGAGCACCACCACAAGGCATAATAAAACCAAAATCATCGGATCAATTAAAAACAGGTTTTTGATTTTTATATTCTTGCATTATGATATTCTTTTGTATCAATAAGGGGATCGTATCATGGCATTAACCGTATGTTTTGAATCAATCGTTTATGAAGATGCATTAACGATACTTAGTTATGCATCACCATATCCGGTATGTTGACGATGCTACTCGAAACGATACTAAATTAATGTTATTCTTTTAGGTTATACTTCGTGTACAACGTCCATCACATCATACAAAAGTCAATGAAACATCAGAAAAACGACCGCCAACAGTGAATACAACAAACAAAGTCAAATGGCAAGATGATTTCGAACATTATGATAATGATAGTAAATATCCATGAAAGAATTTAAGATATTTTATCTACAGAGAGGAGACATTATCCGTACGATTAAAGTATTGGTCATATCTACTAGATGAATTCATTCAAATTTCCAAGAGGATTTTCAAGAAAAAAGGAACTGAGGAAAATTTCTTGTTCAAAATGCATAATTTTTTGTTGTTGTTCTATATTTAAAATAATAGATCGCACAGATTTAGGCCAGAACAAAAAATAAGCATCTTGCATTTGAATTGAAATTCTTCGCAAAAATTGCGATTAAAATAAAGCGACTTCATATAGATTCCTTTACACCATGAAAGAAATTAACTTGTTTCTATTGAATAGAAAAAAATGTATGACTTGTTTTTGTTAGCGTCACAACAATCTATTGTCCAACCCAATTCGCCAGTACCAGTTAACAATTTGCCTCCAATTCCAACAAATTCAAAAGTTCTTGCATCGCCAAAAAAACATTCGCCATCGAAAAAAACTCGTCCTAATAATAATGCTACTACTACTACTCAATCTCGTGTCAACAGTAGAGCATCTTCAGCAAATAAAGGTAATAAAATAAAAGCATCACCCAATAGTGCCACTGCTGCTACATCCGGAACGACAACTAAACGTTCTAATAGTGATGTTAAAAAACATCGACCAAAAGCAAATACTACTAATAGTAATAATAATAATAATAGTCAACGTTCGATAGCTAATCAAATGATGTTAATGTCGACTGGTCTAACAGCAAAACCAGCAGCTAACACCAAAGCACCACCAATACCGACAAGTACAAAGCCAATAAAATCAGTAACTGACTCGGCTATATCTTATCGTCATTATAATAAAGGTGGTGATGGTGAAGGAGTAGCACGCTCGAAAGGTAGACTAATTATGGGAATAAATATATTTATAGCGCATGAATATGCATGAGTTAATAATTACTTAATTATTCATTAATATTCTATTAATCTTTTGATTTTTCTTTTTCTCTTTAGATAAACCCAATAAATCTGAAGCGTCTATGATGGTAAATATGACTTTTTTTTTATTTCGAAAGAATTGAAAATTGACTTTGTAACTGTATTTTTCTCATTTAAGCCTTATTACGATTCTCCATATGATTATTATTATGGTAATGTTTCGCAATATCAATATCTTCATCAGTCACATTTAAATAAAAATAATAATAATTCTCATTCGACTGAATCATTAACTGCCATAACACCTAATTTGGCGGCATCGATTTATACAATAAAATTATCCTCAACAAAATCGTGTGTTGGAATTCATCGTCGACGTGAACGACGTCTTTCATCACCTGCAGTTTTAGCAACTGCAGTGCTCGATAATAATACAGCGATAGACGTTGATGAAAAATTGGATTCAGTTGATAATTCCGACTCATTTGTGTAATTTTTGTTTTTGTTTTCCTGTTATCTGATTTTTTGCTTTTACTGAGAGAAAAACAAGTGTTTATTGAAAATATTTAATTATATATGATTATCTATTTCAATAGAAGAATAAATATATTCTTCATGTAAGATTATTAAATCACTTAGGATTTCGATAAAAGTTCTCGTTTCAACTGAATGGATATGTAATGTGATCTAGAATAAGTTATTTTGAGTTTTTCTTTATCGACTGAAAAAAAATGTCAAGTCCGAAATTACCTGATTCAATCTATCAAAAATTCGTTACCACTCGGCATCATGTTTAAAAGAAGAAAATATGATTTTATTCATGCGAAGATTTCTTGGGTCATAGAAATATATATTTGAAAAAAAAAATAAGAAGCAATCGATCAAGTCTGAGATATTGATATTATTGTTTGTTTTTTAGTAGGAAATCGCCTGTTCATAATTAAAAATACAATTAATCTGCTAGCAAGAGAACCGAAAGAGCGTAGTTTTGCTCTGCAATTCAACTTATTCGTTTTAGCTATATTCTCATTGATGATTATGTTTATTTTGATCTGTCTTCCGATTTTTTTTATACTATTCGATATGTAGTAGATAATTATCAATTAATGGCTAGTAATTAGGTATTATCTTAGAGAAGATAAAAGTGGAAACGACCGTGAAGTAAGCAAAGAATCTTTTTCTCAAAATTTTTCTTTCGTATCTTATACCACAATAATCTGTCTTCCAGAAATAATTTGAATAGAGTGAACTTTCATCGATCGATGAAATAAGTTATGTTTTGCATGAATCCTACCACATCTTGCCTAAAAGAAAATCAAGTCTTGAGGATTTCGCTGACATCATATGGCGTGCATTAGACACTTTTTCATTGTATTAATTAAATCCGCATATTTATTTATTTATTTATTTATTTAAACCTAGCACAAAGAATTCTGCGCTTAAACCTTAAACTGTTGATTCATTGCCGATTGGTACGACTCTTGAAAAAACTGAGCTTTAAGATCTCTTTAATCGACGAAACGGACGTTCCAAAACAAAAATATAGTTGATTGTCTTTTAATTGCACTAGTAAAAGAATATTATTTAAATAGCATGAATAATTTTAATCAGTAAAGAAAAATGATGGAATACGTACGAGCTGACTCAACATTTTTAAGCGTGGCTGCGGTGATTTAAAAATTACTGCAAACAACGAAAGGACTGCACACTACTTAATAATGATATAAAGAATAGGATACATTATTATGTGTCTTGTGTAATTTGTCCATACACACGCTGGTGGTTCAGTGGTTTGAATATAGTAAATCGAGTACACGAAGATGATTCCATAAAACATTCCAAAGTATTGTATCTTTTCAAAGTTCAATACAAAAAGGCGGTTTCTTAACAGAAGAAAAAGAATCAAATGCAAATTAAAATGTTTTTGCTCTTTTTGATAACAGAAGTAAATTCTAAAGAAACTCTTAAATGCAATTTTTATGATATTTTCATTTAATACTTTTAAATCAAAATCAAATAGAAAACAAAAAATAAATGATTAATGTATTTTCAGGATAAACATTGTGCAATATAAACACGATATTGATAAACTATGAAAGTGCTATAAAAAAAAAAGTAGATTAGATTTGTCTCGATGTCAATGAAACTGAACTGTAAATATAACATATTATTAACAAGATAGTTTCGCAAGGATAATAATCAGTAGTACAACAATAATTTCCTTTTCGGAAAATTGAACCGGAGATACTTGTTCGATTTAATAATGGACTTACCCGTGATGTTTTGAGATAGGAATGCATCTACTTCAGGCATTGTTCTCTCCAACATAATGGTAAATTTTGAAGTTCAGAAGAATTAAAATTTTGTTCCAAGACAACCTTTTTGTTTAATATTTAGAAGAGAATGTAAATATAAGCAGTTGATTAGAAATAAAAGTCATTACTGTTAAAATACCATTTGATACATGAATATTTTGAATGAATTATACAAATTTTGATACATCTGTCTGTTTGAATAGTAAACCATACTGATCGATTTGATCTTAAACCGTTCATTTAGACTGATGAAATCATTTATGACGCTCTGTTCTAAAACAAACGCTATAATAGGTCGAGTACAAGTGTGTACCCGCGCTCACTAAAATCATGATAGACAACTTAAGGTAACCAATTTTCCCCTACTTCAAAGTTTAATCCTACAGGGATTGTACTAAAAGATGTTTTTTTTTTTGAATGAGAATGCCATTAGAGTAATAAAAAAACGTTTAGCAGGATGAAATTATATTTTCTGAGAATACAAGTAGTTCAAATCCTCAACAAAAGCATAAATCTCTTTAATTTCGTTTGCATAGCTTCTCATCTGACTATTAGATTTGATTAACAAACGATCATACTATATCAAACAACAGCAGTAATCTCTAATATTGATAGTCAATGATTACAAGTGAATTTCAATTATTGTCTTTCTCGTTATGTTAAAAAGCACGTATAATTACGTGACGAAATTTCACCTGATGCATGTCGCTGGACACGTGTGAGAATCAAATGCAGAAATTTGCGACGCAAACCAACTAGAATATTTTATGGACCTCATTTGAACGTACTGATTTGTTGAGTAATCGACACAAACTCATTATTCATCTGAAGAGAAAATGTTTTGTTAACATTTTTTTGGAAATCAAGCAATAATATTTACCTAAAAACTTTGTCATCACTTTTTCATCTCGTGTATTTGCACCTAATCCAGACGCTTCTGGCACTGATTGGTGTACGAAAACAAAAGTATCTTTATTGTGAATTGGTTGTTAATAGAGATGAAGAATAGTTCGAATGGTTCGTTGCCAGTAGTTATTTAACAAGGAAACCACTCAGAGAATTGTTAATCACAAAATAGGAAATAACAATAGATGTTAATAAACGAATATGAAATGTATTGTGTTTTGACTTGTTTAATTTTTACATTCTCCGATGTGCGACCGCTGGATCGACTGTTGAAAAAAAGTAACGAAAGAAAGATACATGTGCATTGAAGCAGAGCGATCACGCATGAAGGTACTTTCTTTTCTTCGTGAATGTTGTTACGGATTTGTCATCAATTCATCGAATGATAGTCATTTTCTTGTTCATAGTTAAATTTATTTAATATTTTGACTTTAATAGCTCATTTTTACAGAATATGCATTGTGTAAAAACCGAGAAAAGAATGAAAATCATTTATGATTCAGAACGAAACACAGGGCAACGAATATATAATTATAGTGGCTGGTAACAATGACTATTCCTTTTTCATATAGAATAATTTAACAAAAAGATCAGTTTATCAGTAGAATTTTATTTATTGCTAAAATTTGGCATTGACACAATGTCTGTTGCTAAATTGCATTGTAGCGAGATCTGTAAAATACAGATGCTATCGCATTGCTCTTCACTGCTAGTTAACTATCGAAGGGAAAAGAACTCGTTTTATTTATCCTTACAATTTGAATAGAAATTTCCATTCTTTTTTGACTGACACGATATTCAATATGGCTTGGGCGCAATAAGTCGTCAATTATTTACTGTTGTAAGACATAACGTTTCACAATAAATATAAAAAGCATAGCTTGTTTTTATTAATCATCTGGTGACTATGTCAAATCAATAACATCATCCGAAGAATCAATGTTTTGTCGAAAAATTAATAATATTTTATGTATTATTTACAAGAACATTATGCGACTCGTAATGTTTTAACTAAGTTAATGAATTAGAATGACAAACTTTGAAGTACGCAAAATCGATTCCCATCAGCTAGAGTTCTTTTTCGATTTCTTAAGACTTAGAGATGAAAGATCTTCTGTCTGCTTTTTTTTTCATTGACTATGAAAATACTCGATGATTTTAACACCAATTGTTTTCTAATAATCTTGTTTTGATTAAATAGAAGAGCACTATACAATTCCGACCGCCTATCATACCTATTCATTGTATATTTCTACTGAGTTGTTTAATAGGATTTACTAGATTTTTATTTAAAATAAAAATAGAATTCACAAAATTGATGACCCAAGGAATCATCGAATCTTATCAATATTTAAATGAGATTCAGATTCAGTGCGGAAATCAAACTTAATTTGACATCCATTTAATCTTATATTGACATATAATATTCAAAGAAGTTTATTACTATTACTAGACGGTCTATTGTTTTCTATTGGCTCTTGATTTTGATTGAAAAAATGTGATGATACTCGATTTTTTAGCAAAACCCAATCAAACATAGAATCATATTGATAATTAAGACGATAAGACAAATTACGAAATATTTGACGTATATAAAAGTAATCAGGTTCATCGGTGTATTGCAATCTACGGCAATAATTTAAATACATTGCAAATTCAGGTGAAAATCCAGCACAAAGATTCGTTATTGAAATAGACATTTTTAATTCGCAAATTTTTTCATATTTGTGCTTTTTGTTCAATGCGCTTATGCCTTGCCATGGAAGAGTACCTCTAATAAGATCGATATAGCAAATAGGTTAAAAAGAAAAGGAAACACTGAAAAACGACAAACCGACTGAAATAAATAAGAACATGAGCAAGTGCTTCCATATCATCACGACGTGATTGTTCAATGCCAAGATGTGTTGATATCTTAGGACAAAGACAGAACAGAAAATATCAATTGTAATAAAAACTCGTGGAAAAAAAACATACAGATGCATATCGAGGTGTACCTGTTAGACTTTTGCCTTCTTTATATGAAATATGCTTATTTAGACGATGATCAAAAAACTTTTTTGCTAGACCAAAATCGATAAGAAATATCTAAAATAAATCGGTTAGAGATATTTTTTGAACGGTAATTCTTCTTCACAGGAGAATTCATATGATCACTTCCATGATAGTTTACACTAACCTGTGCCGAATCTTTTCCGATGCCGACAAGAAAATTATCTGGCTTGATACTAAAATAAAATCCAACATAAACATCTATTCGTTGTTCACTTACTCTCGATGAAGATAAAATTTTCGGTGTAAACATTCTACGCGTGATATCATTTGATCGGCTAACATCAAAATAGTTTTCAACGAAAATTCTCGTTTACATAAATGAAAAAGATCTTCTAACGATGGTCCCAAAAGTTCAATAACTAAACATTTATAATCACCTTCTTCACCGAACCTATTCGAATATCCGATTTTTGATTTTTGATTCCGATTCGTATCAACTTACCAAAATAGTTTCGGAATGCCTTGTATACCTTTCATTAATTTATATAATTTTGCCTCAAAAGCTAATTGTAGCGAATAAGTATTATTGGCTTCGAGTTTAATAGCTACATGTTCTCCTGTTTGAATATTTAATGCACGATAAACATCACCAAATGAACCCGAACCTAATTTGCGTTCTAATTGCCATTGATTGGCAATTAATAAATTATTATTTGTATTATTATTCATAGCTATTTTTTCATAGTACTTCTTTTTATTTAAATTAAAATATTAAACTAAGCAAAATTAGATGATATTTATATAAATGAATTGTAGAGCGCATTTATTGTGCACGGAAATAGTTAACAATCATTATTTTAGTAAAACCTATAAATAGAATCTCAAAAAATCATGGAATTCGTTTTGTTTTACATAATAGTGATATGAGCATCAATAATAACATTGGGTATGGTACTAATGAATAGAATGAATTCAGAGAATTCACGAAAAATACTTTGTTATCAGCTTGTTACGTGAATCAGAACATAGGAAAGTGTTATTCAACGAGTTACTTTTTAATGTTTTGTTAATGCGGAAGATTGAGAATTTTTTATATTTTCATTTTAGCAGTTTTGCGTTTTAATGTCAGATCTGAAGCTTAACAAGATCATTTACAACATGATTATTAGTGGCTGATTTTCACTGATTATACATACCATGAATTTTTATTCGACAAAAATAGTTGAAGGTTTATGTAAATTATTTTTAATTTTTTGAATACATTTTGGTAACACTTTAACGAACTCTGCTATCGTATAGAAAGTGAACTTATAGTTTTATGTCAATAACTTCGCAGATATCTTGGCCCATATCATGAAAGGTAATTTGTATATAAACAAAGTCTCTGAATGCACAATTTCGATAATTCCCATAAAGAATCCCTGGTCGAAAAATACAACACAACAGCATATCTCTCGTGGATTGAATCATATCCGAGTAGATTCGATTGAGAGAATTTTTCAAAAACGTAAATTATTTCTATACCTTTGGTTCAATATTGTTCTCAATTCAATTGTTTAACATTTTTTAATCTTGTGAACTATTCTTAAAATTGAAATCTAAACGTAATCTTCGATTTTCAACGTCATAGTGTGTACTGCTGTGCGTATCTGGTTGTTGCTCACATGCATTGTTATGAGTGTTTCTTATCTGTCTTTTACATACAAATATTTATACACCTAGGCTTGATAGTTATTGTCATTAGCTGTTTTTCAAAATACGAATGCGTCTGCTTTAGATGACTCTCGGCATATACATCATGCGGCTAGAATATGTTTACGGTCATTTTGTATAAATTTGTTTTATAACTGTTTGTCTTCGTAGATTTCATGGAGTTTTCAAAAAACAAAATAGATTTGTTTTGATAGTTTTTATCCTTACGACGAAGTTTGTCACATATATTTCATTCTCACGTTTAAGATTTGAAGAACAAACACAGACGTTTGCTACATTGCCATCATAATATTCATAGTTGACCACAGGATGTACGATGAATATGCTTATGGAACGGAACAATATGCCGCTCAAACGGTTTTACCTAGATTAGTAGTCGAACGAACTTATCAAGGTAAGACTTGTTATTGTCTCATACCGTTCGTCGAATATGAAGCGTAAATAAATCTAGGTGTAGCCTCAGAAAGTCGTAAGACCGAAAACCAGCGAGCACTTGTGGCTACAAGCAGTGTTGGATCATCAAGAAAAACCTATCGTCAAATCGTTCGAATTCATGATTGGAAAGAAGAACACGTCGTGCAATTTTTCATCGATAGTGATTTGACAAGTCTACTACCTATCCTGAAGGGTATCGATGGTAAAGGTCTACTTGAACTTTATCGAATCTATCAACAATCACCTGACCGTCTCTACAAAATGTTTAGCACTTATAATGACGTCGCTTCTCTAGGATCATTTTTCAAATTAATGGCTACATTTAGGAATTACATTGTGAGAACTGAGAACGAGGCATATTATTAAGACATAGTGATTCTGTCAATTCATTTAAATAAATTTTCGAAAATTAAAAGCTTCTTTGTTCATTAACTGAATCACATTTTATATAAAAGACGTCACGAAAACGTTGCTCGAAGGTAATAGTGAGCATCGCACATCATACTTAATCAATATCAAATGTAGAGAAGCTGCTTGTAGTGTCTTTCACCACTCGTAGTAGTAATAAACACATGCTGTTTTTGCTATTTTACACATCATTGATGATAAGAACAGAAATATAGATCAAAGTCTTATCAACATCTTCAGAATTTCATTCAGTCACTCACATGAAAGCAATTTCGAATTCGAAAAATCGCTAGGAGAGTTTCTGACACTAAATAAATTGGATTATTATATCAAGAATAATATGTGAAGTGACACAGATTATCATAGAATGAATGCTTTTATAATGAGACAGTGATGACGCGACAAAGAAAATAGATTTCAACTAGTTTGAAATAACTTTTACTTTTTTCGAACAACATACATCCTGGCGTTAAAACGGAATATTCGGTTAGAAAAAAGATAGCGGTACAATTAGATGTTAGCTTCCATCATTACTACTTTACTTAGCGTACAGCTTTTCAAGTTGTAAGGCAACAATAAACGTATCTGATTGAATATGCTTTTTTTTGTCAGAACAAAGTACTGAATAATTTCGATTCACATAGTTGAATCAAACATAAATATCCAGTCGTTTGGTTTTTTTTATTTAACTAGATTAATATGAGTAATAGTAATTACTTAAAACGATATTTGTGGGGAAATAATTGCAATTCAAATCGGGCGTCACGATATCTATGCTTGATATGAAAAGTATTCCTATTATTTCGTTTAAGTAAATGCAAAGAAAGAACTCTTTTTACGTTTTCTTGTTTGCTTAGATAAAAAATGAGTTGATAACCAAAGAATATTTTGTTTGCGTAAAATTTTGAAAAGAATAATTTGTACTTTTCTTTTATGTCACGATAATATGTTGTTCGTTTGATTCGATAAAAATAAACGACATTGGAGGAAGAATCCCATAGATAAGTAGCTGTTTTGAAATACAAGCCTGACTATTCTAATTAGTTCTTTGTAATCGTTTAAATCAGAAGTTATCTAATATTGTATTTGATGTCTAAGAGATTTTTGCAACAGATAGATGAAAATAGTACAGGGCGTTCATCTGTTTTAGCGAAAGCTCTCTTAAACTGGTGGAAACTTTTTGATCTATGTATTAAAGTACTTGAAAGGTATGCTGAAAATTGCCATACGTGAATTTTCTAGTCAGTGCCGGTATGTATTAGTTCAACGTTTTATAGATTATAATTTTCGTGAAGTTTGAAGTGATACATAGCACTAGTTGTAATCAGTAACGACGAATCTTTCTCCTATGACATATAATTTTGAACGAAATAGAAGTGTAATTTCAAATGTTTCATTAGAAATTTGTAATGAATTTGCAAATTTTATGTGGAATTTTTGTTGTGTTAAATATTAACTTATGAAAACAAAGTAATAAAGTTCTATTGTTTATTTTATGTCGCCTAGATTCAAAAAGGCTCGGAAACCAAGAGAAAATATCTACGTATTACAATTCGATTATGATTGAAAATATTCACAGATGTCCTCACACTTCAGTATCCTTCAAGTAACATGTGTTTATCGATCATAGATAGCCACGATTTTGTCTGCGTGAAGTCGCATAGTAATAGTTTTTCTGTGTTTAGAATCTTACTATTCTCATCATGAAAGGGTTCATTTTCGTTTGTTATTAATAATCATTGTCTCAATTTTATAATTACAAGTTTAGTGAAAACATTGTCTCTCATTTACATATCAACAAGAAGATACTCTGTCATAGATATCATTAAGCATAATCCGTTGCTATTTCAAGATAACGAATTTCATCCGTGATATCAAGAATCGTATTGTCTAGTAGACTAGAAAAAAAATGTCACTAAGATAAGAGTTTTGCCACATAGGTCGATTTTTGTGGTACACACTTAGATCAGAAGTCTTTTTCTGCACGGTAAGAAAATAGAAAAACCACATCGATTTTATTTCCCAAAGTGAAAATTAACTGTAAGTCTATTTAAAAAAAAACAATATGAACATTCTGTATGCGTAGATAACAGGAAACTTAAAATGATAGATATGAATTTTATGTCTAAAGTATAATTTTATAAAACAATAATTCACAGAATTTAAAAAGTTTGTGATGATTGTAAAACAGGATACTCATTTGCCCTTAACAAGCGAACTTTAGCCCCTACGGCATGTAAAATATGGTTGAAACACGGATTATCATTTGCTGAGAAATAATCTTTTCTCACTGAATAGGTAATGTGAATGTCAATCCCTTTCCGATCTTGATTCTACGTCATTTTCAGATCAGTTCTTGAAATATAAGTATAATTTCATATAGCCATTTTCTTGCCAAATGCCTTCAACGGACACAAGCGCTATTGCTTCATGGAATAATATTTCAGCTAATATCAATCGGTATTTTTCAATAGTCATTTTTCTTTTTGGAACAATCGGAAACATTCTCAATATAATTATTTTATCACAACGACAACTTCGAACCAATCCATGTTCATTATTTTTTCTTATTTCATCTATGGCCAATCTTAGTGCTATATTATCTGGTTTGACAACGCGTATGCTATCAGGTTGGGCTTTAGACTTAACCAATACAATCGATTGGTTATGTAAACTTCGTGCTTTTGGTTTATTTCTTTCAAGAAATGCTGCTTCATGGCTGCTGATGTTAGCTACTATGGATAGATGGCTTTTATCATGTAGAAATTCTCATTATCGAGAGATGAGCACATTAAAAAATGCTTATCGTGGAACTATTATGACTATTTTTCTTTCGACTTGTCTTTACTGTGCAGTCTTTTATTGTTATGAAGCGAATTTAATCAATACTCCACTAGCATGTTATGGCAAAACGTTGGCTTGCCGTTTTATAAATGATTTAAGTTATGCATGTCTGACAATATTGTTTCCTATGATCATCATGTTAATATTTGGTTTAGTGACAATACGTAATATTCGTAAAGTTAAAAATCGTATTCATGTGGCAAGTATTACTGGAAAGCGGGGCACGGGAAATTCATCGACTGTAAGACGTTCAAGGCAAGATAGACAGAAAAAATTAGATTATCGACTGTTCTTCATGCTTTTCATACAAATTATTCTCATGTGTATATTAACGCTGCCTCAAGCTGCTGGAAAATTATATTCAACTTTAACATCAGCTGAAAAGCAAACACCATTGACGACAGCAATTGAAAACTTTGTATTTAATTTGTTTCTTTTAATGACTTATGTTGCACACGGAATGCCATTTTATATTTATGCATGGAGTGGGGGCCGAATTTTTCGAAATGCAATCAAGACTTTGATTAAAAAATATATCATAAAATGATTTAATTAAGTTGAGAATATACAAAATTAGATTTTTCTCGGTGTTCAATGTTGTAAATGTGTACAATAAAAGTGTATTGAAACTCATTTTATTTGTTTTACGAAATAAAAAGAAATATTTTATGACTTAGTGTTGCATAGTCAGCTAAGTCTAGTGTTCCGAAATGATCATCATCGGTAAGCTCTTTACGGCATCAAGAAAGTCTATTAAAAACAGGTTATCCGAATTTGACTAGAAATTGTTAGCAAGTTTAACCTGAAGCGTTCGACAGTCATCGATCGTATAGTTACTAATAATTTTCATTCAAATTAATTTAAGTTTCACTGTAATTTACTCTCGCAATTTATCTTCAAATCTCAACTCGACAAATGAGAGTTGGCAAACATCGCATAGAATTGTGTGTTGTAATTTTCAGACATGTAATATCAGTAAGTGCGCTTGGCATCATTAAATACGTTCATTCTGCGTAAATCTTGAAATCTATTTATAAGTGACACATCAATTAAATGCAGATTTCCAGTGGATGACGTAGCAGTTGTCGATACCTAATAACTATGACAGAAAAGCTATTGTTATCTCAATTCTGTTTATTCCTTCAACAGATGTAAAACGACCTACTAAAGTATTATATAGATACAAGTATTTGTTTACAGGACTTCTCATAGTTAAATAGGATTGTTTCAAGCATGTGTTTTACTCTCTGATTAGATCTTCGTTTTTAATTTAATAGATAATTGATCGTAATCAGGATTTAAAATATAACGATTTTATGAAGTTTTATTTAAAAATAGTTTCTGAATCCTGCGACGAGTATTGATGAGTTTTTGGCAATTCAAGAATGAAAGAACGCAGTGATCAGAGGAAGAGTGACACATTATTTGTTGTATGAATATCAATGAGTTTGTAATTACTGCTGTTCACATATTAGTTTTATCGAATAAATAGACGCTAAAAATATAAAGCAGAGCAACGAGACCTACGAGATAGAATACATAATTAAGCATACGTTTATCCTATTTGAAAAAAAGTTAGAATTGTAATAATTTTGCTCAAAGAAAATATTGAATTCGAGATTTTTTCAATATAATGAAAAAAAAATAAGGAAACATCGGATTCCCATCCGACTGTTACGTGTACTGCAAAAACTGAGTCAATTTATATATGTTTTGAATAATACTGAGCAAAAAAAATATTTTGAAAAATCCCTGTACCCTCTCTCCCCCCTTAGGGATGGTTTGGCCAATAATGACAATTTTTTCGATAACTCAGCCATTTCTTGACGCATCCTTCTCATCTTCGAACTCATGTGAGATATTGATGAGGTCATTCTGTACACAAAATTTCAAGGCAATTGGATCGGGCTTTCAAGAGTTATCGTGTTAACGGCAGAACACACTGACCGAATCTAGAGTGTACTCACTTTTTGAGTACACAACAAGGGAAATCTTATTTTTCTGTATGAATATGTGATGACATTTTATTATTATCTAGACAAAAGTCACGCAAAAAAAACATTTTTGTTTGGCTGGTAACTTATCCCATAACATTACATTTATGTTTTAATTTTAATTAAAACGAATAATTCATTACGTTATTATATTGCAATAGTAATCATTGATCCATTTTAAAACACCAGAATATCAAACAATGCTATAACTGAAGACTTATCTCTTATAGCACATTGAAGTTATATACATTTTTACTATAAATAGCACATTTCTTATCGGTACGAGCAAAGCCCTTAGCGACACATTTGATGTTCTATGAATCTTTCGTTTTGTGTATGTACTGCTAGCAAAATTTCACTGCAATGAATTCTCAAAACACAGACAAAAAAGTATTCAATTTTTATCATCAAAAGAGTTTAACTTTTATATTCGCCCTTAAGTTTTTAGTAAACTTGGTCTCGATTCATGAATGTATACATGTCTTGCTGTTTAGACCACCATATTTCTTCCTTTGATCATAATTAAATTTCGATCAAATCTAAAAAGTCTACGTAGATCTCTTTTATTCACTCAAATTACGATCGTATCAGTAAGAATTCGATTTTCTATCAATCAGAGTTGCTTATATCCAATAGTTTTCACTTTGAACGCGATTCACATTCTGAAAAAAATCTTATCGAAGTAAAAACTGTCTGCTACTTTCAAATGCTACTGGTGAGATCGATTTCCAGAAAACGGACAAGGAGCTAATCGAAAGGTTATATACTGCCAAGTATTTTGGAGAAGCTTGAATCGCCGAAATCCATGTGGCATGGCTAGTTTCGATGATTCAACTCTGAAAAATATTGTAAATCTATGAAATATGAAAGCTATGATTTACATTAGAATATTCTAGACTATTTACTTAACGTCTAGTTGTTTTTCTATTGGAGCGGAATGAAGCCTATTGAATATTTCATGAAAATTTCCTTGCCTCTACTTATAAGATTGCTGCAGTGTGCGTTTTATTTTCTAACAGAATCATTCCTCATGTATTCAGTTAAGCTCTTTTAATTCTTCAGAAAAATTTGCGTAGAGTAAATAACTGATTATTTCGAAAAGTAGTATATTCGGTTATAAAAGACAAGTAATGCGCGATATATGAAGCGAAATCCGTGACCATTTAGTTTTCGAAGATAACCTTATAAGATAAGAATTCAAAAAAAAACAACATCTAGTTTATTGTATCGACGTTGAGGCGAATACGTCGTTTTTAGTTAGTTGATAACTTATCTAAGTTTATTCTTTCTACAACAGATGGGCTCTGCATAGTTGAAATATCCGAACATATTCGATGATAATTTTTACTTTTTATGCGTGGATGTCAACAACTGAGGCAATATAATATTTCGATCAAGAATGTCTTATTTTTTTTCGACAGATAACAATCCTTTTATGTCATGTTTTACTTTTTTGCAATTCAATTTTCTTTTGCTTTGACAAGTTTTCACTCAACGATACTAAAAGTAAATATGGAGAAACCATGCTCAGTTCATTTTCATAAAAACAAAATTATTTTCTATGTTTGACCTTACGACAGCGAACGTTTTTCTTCGAAATAATCGTAACGAAAAAAAGCTCTTAAGAAACAACAAAAAAACAAAAGCGCATCATAATAAAACACCAGCTACCAGCATCACATGGTTAGTTTATACCTGGATGATTACACGAGAGAATGAAAAAATCCTACGAAAATCGCCCAAATAGAAAGAAAAAAAGCAGGCGCTGAAAAGCTGTGAACAACCATGTACTGTGATTTTTGTTGTTCTTGAGTTGCATTGTGATAAAAAAAAACTTCCACTTTCACTACTGTATCTATTGCGCATTTCTTCTGTTTTTCTACGAGACTGGCGTGCCATTCTACAAAAAAATAGTTTCCTGTATTGGTTTCATTCGGCGATCTGTGCGTAAAAATAATCATTTGACTTTCCCAGGGTGGTACGAATGTTTGTTTGTGTGTCAAGAAAATGGTACGACAGAAAAATTTCATACGGACATGATTGAGAACTGTCAATGATACATAGTAAAAACGTTTTCAACATTGAAATTGATAATATAAATTGCTAGTCTGTCTAGAAAAAATTAAATACGAAGTAAAAACTATCAGAAAATGATAATAGAAAGAAATTTTATTTTTCATTTCTGCTAAACAAGTCGAAAAACCTGAAAATATTGAGAGCATTTTCAGAGAACTTATTCTTAGCAGAGATCCAATATGTGTATAATAAGAATTTGAAAAACTATACCATATATATTTCATGTAAGCAATATTTAGTTTTCTTAAACTTTTAATACTATTTCTTTTTACCGGTTAAAATCTTGTACTAGAAAATGAGCTTGTTTCTGTTTATATTTGTAATTATTTAATACTAAACGCTACTATGAAAGTATCAGTAATGTTCTAAGAAATCATTTAATTTCTTAAGCAAAACCAATTGTCATTCAAGGACTCAATTATCCATCCTATTTCTCGGAATATTATTGCGTGCCTTGGGCCATTTTACCCCCCGCTATGAGTTGACAGAACAAGTAAATATTTTTCAAATGGATTGAAGCCAATAAAAACTTTTGCAAAATCAAATCAACTCATCAATGTGTTCCAAAACGATTTTTATGTAGAATCTAATATTTTTATTCTTGAAAATGTTTACTAACGTCCCTGAATAATTCAAAATAAAAACAATTCGGTGATCTTTGCACATCGGTTATATTTGCACATGAGAGAATTTTCTTATCTTAAAATGCTAGAAATAAAATTTAAGTGCGATTTATGATTCTAAGATAGTACAAGTAGAAAAATGATATCTTTTCTAAGTATCACTTTTAAATATTCATGAGACATATTTCGGTTCTGAGGTAACTATTTAATTTTTAGACATTGCATTCAATATAAAAAAGAGCTATACAATTATTTCCACTTAAACAAAAGGCAATACAGAATATAATACATGAAATTGTATAAAAAAAATAATACTAATAGCAAATGTTGACATGATGTTATTATTTTGAAAATATAAATTCTTATTTTAATGCAACTATATAGTGCATAAAACAAGTAGTATGAAAATTCGAAATATTTTATGTGCAACAATAAAACTACAGGAACATCGTAAAAATACAATATCACATGTGCTCAGATTAGTTACTATTATCTGAACCGTGATGCAATTAAATTTGTCCATTGAAGTGAATTTCTACTAATTCCATAAATTATCTAATACAATACAAAATACTGGGTTCAGTCGATTTTTTTTCGAATGACTTATGAATGAAGACTCAGTTTGGTGTTATTATTTTCATCCACGAAATAATTTTTTAATGTTTTCGACGAAAATTGAAATGTATAACGAGTATTTGTTTTTTGCATAATATTTGATTTATAGTACCATCTGATGGCTCTTGCGAATTTATCGTAAGTCATTCGTTGATTTGATTGTCGACTCTTGACTGCTTGCCATAGTTCAGCAACTTTTTCCGGCTGATAAATTTGAAATATACCTTTGGGTTTGTCTATGAATGATGCAAAGGGTTTGTATTGTGGTTTACCGAGGAGAAGAATAAGAAATTCGAATAGACGTGGAGACCGTTGACGCTTTGATGCTAAATCTTCAACAAGCCATTCTTTTCTATTTAGGGGAATTTCGAATGAAAATATTTCGGAGTGATCTGAAAAACTATCAATTGAGTCTATGTCTATGTGCGATGATATACTATCAGATAACCATCCGCTCAACGTATTAATAATATCACTTGGCTCTTGTTCAATACACATTGTATTAGGGTCGAAGTCAATAATACTTTCAATAAGAACTGGGTCATAATTTTCGTCGGCTTCATTGAACATCATAACAGTTGCAATTAATTTAGTACAATAAATTAATAATTAAGAAGTATCTGTTCACTCTTTACTTGAATTTGCCGATCGAATTCAATAATTTGAAGCCAAAAAGAGTAGTAATGTGTCAAAAATTTTCTTATGTCTGTCGACAATACACAAGCGTAGCATGTAAATGTATGTGAAAGGAAAGAAAAAGGTGTCTTTCGGCGAAACGTTGTTGACTGTCTGTGTCTCTCTGTAATCGTTACTCGCCTTTTCTCTATAGCAAAAGAAGTAGTTACTTGGAATATTCCGAATAATGTAAAAAGAAAAGGATGATGTCATCACAATTGCCAAATAATGTAAAACTAACATTAGGAAAAATGAAAGGTACTTGGTACTTCCAACGAAGAAAATAGTCCAGCGTGGCAAATTTGTAAAAACATACGTTGAAGACATTTTTCGGCGAATGGACTCTATGAATAATAAAACTGCGTTTGATCAGTAAAACAAATTTAAGTATGTTATTACTACGAGAAAATAACTGGGCTATTATGTTTTCTGTATATTAGTAGATTTTGATTTTCTTACAAACAACTTTTAAATTAGTAATAAATATACGACCATCGATGTAACAAATTTATTCGCTGTTCTACCTAATTTACTCATCGTCGTATGAAACTAATCTTTAAATAATTCATTTAGAATCTGTAAAATTGCTATTTAATAGGTGTGGGAAAAAACCTTTACTGGGTCGACTGAATCAGATGGTGGCAAGAAGAAAAGAAAGAAAGAAGCATGTTTGATGGGAAAATACAAATTGTAAAAAATAATACCGGACTATATCATACAAATCAAATGCTTCTTATTATACATAGAAATATAATGCATCTTTTCGATGCAAAACTTTGTTTTATTTTTCGTCAAGGTGGCGTGAAGTTACTTATTAAATACGATATTTGAAAACAAAATGCAAAGCAAATATCATATTAACAAACACGTGATCATATTTTCTTTCCCATTCTTCAAAAATGATAGGAGTGACTGTCTACATAGACTTAAGGGGGAAAATCTTTTTTTCTTGATTAAAACAATTGCCATGCACGCTGGAGTATTTAAGATGTAGAACACTTAAAAGTATCTTAAAACATTAAAGCCTAAAAATACTTAGAAAAAAGTACTTTTTCATGTGAGAAACTCATATAAAACGATGACCGAGAATGATTACAATGGTACTAAAGAGTCCACTGGAGAGAAAATTTCAACTGATGAGTATATTCATTGTATCACTCGTTGAATGAGTCACGCCGTTGCGACAATTGAGTTCCATATTCAAATTGTATTGCCATTTTGCTCTTGGCGAATTTCACTTTCCGTGATGAGAATAGACCCTCTAAATATACTCTTTCCAAGAAAAGAAGCATTTATAAATTAAAATTAGAATGGGCAACAGGTTGAGTAAATACTTTTGAGCAATGATTGTTAAATTAGATATTTTATTTGTTGAGGTGAGAATTTTGGCTAGTATTTCCTAGCAAGTTTTTCATACTAAAACAATTAGTACGATTAAAATTATTTTTAGTATTGAAGTAATATTATTTTCAAATGACGCAATGCACTTATTTTCATTTTTGAAAAACAATTCATTACATCTGAAACATGCATAGAAAAATTCATCGGATTATCCAGTTCCTTGATAATATTTATTAATGGTTAGAAATCTTTCAGCTTAGTTATGCAATTGAATTAAGACATATTGAGATCGTTTCATTAATTAAGTTTATCAATTTGATTCAATGTCTAACATCATATAAAGAGTATTTTATTTATAAAATATGTTTGGCTTTGAATGATTATACTAAATTATAATCTAGCAAGATAAAAGCATTTTTATCAGTAAGTGCTTTCAGGATGTAATTAATGTAATGTTAGTGATTCGAAACTTTTTCTTTTCCCACATCTGCTGTTCTTTGAAACATTAATTGATTTGGTTTTTTGAAAAAAAGGCATCAAGTCTATTTTTTAGGCTGACTGAATGCATCGAATTGTAACTAATAAAGATTCTTTGTGTGTGGTATTTTTAGTTGGAAAAGTACAAACAAAACTACATGCGTTGAATAAGACATGATTGTCAACCGAGAATGTGACTGCTCAATCCAGACTGGTAAACTGTCTTCAATTAAAGATACATTGTAGATAGACGTGCTTAAGGCAACTCAAAACAAGATCCTTTGAATAGATCATCAGTGTTACAATTAGATAAGGCAATTATACGATCTTATTTCAGAAGCCTTCGTCAAATCAATGAGATTGAAAAACCTTGTGTGCTTATAAATTAATTAGTTCTACTTTCAAAAACATTGCCTATTTAGATTATCGACTTCTTAGCTTTGTATGAATTCACTGAAAGCTGTAAACGTTTTTATTCTTGGCACTGATAATAGTTCATTACAAACGATGAGGGCATATCTCAGGATCACTCTGAATCTCTTGAATAAATATTTCAGTCTCGCGCACTTTTATTTTTGGCTGCTCTTGAAATTTGTAAAATCTACTTAAGTTCTACAATTGATGAAAGAAGTCGTTTCAATCTAGACGTCGTCTGATAGCAAACACAAGAGGGGTCCACGAGAAATTTATTTTATCCCGTTTTACTAAACTATATATTTATATATATATTGAACTCCCTTTACTCATTTCAATCCTTTTACTCTTTTTAGTCTCTTTAGCTCATTTACTCCGTTTAGTCCTTTTACAACCTTGACGTCTGCAACAGTAGTGCTATAGGCAAATAACTTCTGATAATGAAAAAAGAAATCATAGTTTATGATTATCATTTTCAAGTTCAAATGGTTGACTCAGGATTAAAATTAAAACGTTTACAATTAAAATGATGAGATAAAGATAGAAAATAAAATTTACAACCTTCTTCGGAAAAGAATAATACAGTATATTCAAGCAATATTTTAGCCACGAATTCGCTTGTTCATGTCGCACACTGTTTACATCTGAAGAAATTTGCTATCTTTCGAACATACATCCCTCTTAATAGAGAGTAAAGGGAGTAAAAGAACTAAAGGGAGTAAAAGAACTAAAGGGAGTAAAAGAAAGGTGTGGGTTTGCAACTTATATATAGAAAAGTAAAACGGGATAAAATAAATTTCTCGTGGACCTATCCCTAGTCAACTCTCCCTAGAAGAATCCCCAGGGAGTCCCTAGGGATTTCGTTATTTTGTGGGGACTCCCCAAGGAGTCGTCGGGGGAGAGTGGATTAGGGTATGAAACATAACGATCATACCCATACTTGTTTCTATTGAATATTTATCATTAGCAAATACGCAAAATAATTGGAGATATTTTTTTCGTAGTCTATGTAAGAACACACATTAATTATATTCATGTGGATAGAAGTAGCAAAAGTTTTAGGTTATCCTATGCAAAGTTTTACTGATCAGAATAGTGAGAATACATTTTCTATTATTGTATAAATATTATGACTGAAAACCGTTCATTGTTCAATTTATAAGTTTCGTAAAAATCGAAAATATAAGCATCATGTAGCAGCTTTGCTTTGTAGCAAGTATGGGCGTTTCGATTATGTAAAATAAAGTTTTTTTGAACTTTAGTGATACCTTACGATTGGCAGAAATATGGAATATGGAACTTTTACAATTAGCCATTCCTGGATAAGAAAATCTGTTGGATTACCTGTAGGATTTCCCTTCCGATAAAGAAAATATCTACCATGAAAAACCTGGGTGAGGACGAAATTTCAAAACACCAAATTGGGCTGATGATGGATTCAAGTGAAAAAGAAAATCATTCAAGAAAAAAATCAAGCATTGATCACGAGCAAAAGCAGAATCTTATACAATAAGTTATGTACTTTGTTTTTGATGTGCGTTTACATGTTGGTATTTTTCTGATGATCTCGATCGTCCGCTATGTGAGATTAATTGCTTTGATGCAAACAAGAGAACTCAGAAAATTCAGAACTTCTAAATGGTAACTAATCGATATTTTTCTTTGCAACTTTCTAAACTATCGCCATAAGGAGCATTATCGACTCGGATGGTTACAAAAATAAGATCGGCAATTAGTCTTATCGCGACAAACTCCATGCTTTTTTTTCTTCAATTTTATTCAAAAAGAAACAGATATATTTTCATTAGCACAGAATTATTTTTAAAAATTTCGTTACTATGATAAAACCCATCGAAATCGTAATCACCAATACATTATTCGTATCTATAAGAAAAAATAAATGAAAATAAACTCAATATGTCGTCATCAAAATTTCATACTTCTAGTTTGGTTATTGTTTGTCACAGAAATTTGCAGACAAGTTGATAAATTAGCATTACAATCAGTTGTTCGACAATAACATTTATTATAGATAATAGTATAATTAATCGAATTTACAAATGTTTCTTCTCCATTGATATAAAATGAATTATCTGTCTCGTTATAATATTGTTTATAATTCGATTGTGCTGCTTGCCTTTGCATTTGTTGTATTTGACCAACTAATACATATTCATAATCTTCGTCGGGTAATGCGACGAGCGTTAAATAATTTCCATTATCACTTTCTGAATACATGCACATTACAGTATGATTCAGAACATACTCTTCACATTGGACCATATTTATAAAAGGCGTTGAATCTCGTATGCAATAATACGTAGAATTTAAAACTCCAACAGGTGTATCTTGACATTTGATGGCTGATGATTCAACGGTAAGTGATGGTACAGGTGAAGGCAGCGATGGTAAATTCGGACTTGTATCAACCGATTGTTTGCATGTTGTAAAATTCTGATTACAAAGATCCGCTGCACATATGCACAACAAATCAATATCATGATATTCAAAGGATAATTTAGAACAAAGACCATAGCCAATATCGCTTGTTTCAGTGAACCCTGTGCAACGTTGCGTTACAAGACGATAAGAATTCGTTATGTAAATGCAATCATGATATATGAATGAATTAGCACCGTTATTGAAAAATTCATAGACGCAATAATCACAATCAGTGAATAGATCGGAATTACCAAAATCGGATGCGCATGTTAGATTGCGACGATTAGTTATTGTATTCAATCGAAGTGGAGAGTTTTTGAAAAATGCTTGACATCGACTAATAAAAATCAATGATAATAGCACTTTGGAAAACATTTTTTTTGCAAAATGAATAGTTCAATATTAAAGAACTGCCGTTCGTTTGTTTTCTTCTTCTGCACTATCTTTCGAGTACCTGTTCGTATTATTTTATGTTTCGTTGCAGTAAACGATAAAAACAAACTTGATCGAGTGCACATGCAAATAGAGAAAATGATCGAATATGAATAATAACATTTTATGCTGAATAGTATAAAGTCAACTATGCCAGTAAATTCAACTGACAGATTTTTTTTATCAATAGAAAAATACAATTCATATTATACTTCGCAGCCCTGCAGGAGTACGTGTGCGTTATTTTGAAAGAGTTCAATTGAGCGATTAGTATGAAGATGATGAAAAACATTTTTCTGGCATAAGTGAAACATTCGGTCAAATTAATAATAATAAAAAATTTACAAAAATCAATCTAGTCATAAATTTGCGAATTTTCGACCAAGATTTTGTATTCGCTTTTAGAGCTCTATGTGTACAAAAAAAGCAAAACTTAATACTCTGTATATATGAGCCGTATCAAGAACAATGATATGTTTCGAGTAACATATAACACTTTTTATTGAAGCTTATAACAAAGATTAATCGATCAGTCACGTGTTTTTTTTTTATAGGACTCACTTTCTTATTATCATGAAAATACACCGGTTGATCTTTAACTCAGCTTCGAATAATTTTAGGTTTGCAAGTTTTTCATAGGTTGATAAGTATTTTATTTAGTATAAAATTTGTTTATGAACTCACAATATATTTGAAATAAAATGATAAATATTCACCAGTAACCAACATTCATTATCGAATTTATTAGGAAGAAAACATAATGTTGTCGTTTGAACAAATATTTTTAGTTCAATTTAACTATTTTCATGACAAAGATATAGTTCAAAACTGAAAAATTCACGTAAAATTCATTATTTTCAGATCACGAGCGAAACAGTTGAATGTTGATAGAAAACTAACTGAAAGAAGCAAACGTATTAGTTCATAACTAGAACAAAATCAACTTCTAAAATAATGTACAGCAATTATCAACAGAAGGAAAAGATTTCAAAAAGCATTCAAATTTTCTCGTATGAACTCAATTCATTTCGAAAACTTATTGTGACAGATGATTTGCATATGAACGTTTTAATTCATTAAAATCATAGAAAAAAGAGTCATGTGTCACTGGCTTACAATCTTGTTTAAATCTGACTTCCATTTCATTATATAGCATTCGTACTAACATTAGTTCATTATTATCTTCATGTTGATAGATTTCCCATTGAATATTAGCAGCCATCGGCGCAATTTTATCACCCCTCCATCGGTTGTTATCGTAGGTGTAAACATCGGAATGATGTACTGCTTTGTCCGAAAAATTAGGAATTTGTAGAAGTGTTGCAAACGGAATAATTGTTTCAGCGTGAGCAAAACGCAGATGTGCAGTAACATTGCTGGTTGCTTCTATACATGCGTTAATTGAAGTGAAAAAATGCGTTAGCAGTGGTTTTGCCATGTCATATGTTACTGTTGTCCCTTCGATAGATGGGCCTTTCTCGTAGAATTCCTATAAATGCAAATACGAATGATTAACGATACCAGATAAAATAAATCTTAGATATTCAAGAACAAAATAGAATACTTCTGCATCATTGATATAAGCAAACCACATCGATTCGTCTTGATTAAAATATTTCGCTAACATTGCAGCTAAATAGGAGTGGACTTGAGCTGGTGCAACAGAAAACATAGCATAAAGCCATAAAACAATATCCACTTCATTGGTCGGCCTATTGGTTTCCATGGGATCGAGATTTTCATCAGAATTAATTTGATATTTTCCATTAATTAATTGTTCAATAAATTCCTTTTTATAAATTTTTCTCAAGACTTGCCGTGCATATGTTTTGGTTTGTTCTGAATATTTAATTGTATTTACTTTTGTTTTGATATCAGGATTTTGTTTTTTAAATGTCACATAGTTTGTACATAATTTGTGAAAATGAAGCAAACTTTTGCTTGGTTTTTCATTTGATATTTGAATATTACATTCATGTACTGTTAAACCGTTAAGAAATTCTCGAGCACTATCGACGGCACGTTTCACTCCACTTGTTATCACAGAAACAGTATTTGACGAAGTAAACAAAGGCTTTAAACGATTAAACAAACGATTTCCAAGACCGAAATGTTCTTCTTTACCCACTTGAGTCAACTCTCCCGATCTAATAAACATGAATCAAATCTATAATTAATCAGACAGCCTTGTCGAAACTCACCCCACACGAACGTTTTCATGCATGAACCATTCTATATCTTCTTTCAGTTGTTCACCTAATGGTGTCAGCATATTTTTTTCTTTGGCTACTTGCCAGATTTGTAATGTCTGTCGATCATAATCATGACTGTTAATAAAAGTTCGACTGCCATGTCTTGCAAGTAATTGCACACAAATCGGTTTATAGCCCATTGGTGGCGAACTTAAAATATTCTTCTTTGGACAATATCTATAAGGTTTTTTCGTTGAATAATGCCGTTGATGATGTTCATTAGTAGCATGTACAAGATCTGATTCATTCGAAATGATTGTTGAGCATAGTTCTTCTTGAGTAACTACTGGTGCTGATTGTTCGAATTGAACTTTTGTATTAGATTGTTGAATAAATCGTGTAGTAGCATTTGATTTTGAAATAAAACCGTCGGTACTAAAACTTCTAGCTATGCTTTCATTTGTTTGAATATGATTGATAGCGTTAATATTGCGAGTTGTGTTTAGAGTCGTAAGATACATGCTAAGAATTTCGTCAAGAGATGGCTGAATATCATGTTGAGCTGGTTCATCATTTAAATTAGAATTCATTGTTCTACATAAAGCCATGATTTGATTGTTTGAAAGAAAATAAATCTGTCAAAAAGCAAAAAAAACTGTTACTACAAACCATCTTGCTTTTTTTTCATTTTTTTGTTTGCATCTGCACGAACGCACCTCGCGCTGTTTGTATGACCTCCAATAGAATTTTAACAATTCAATTATCTAACTATGAATTCATACAATATGCTGATAGAATATTTCAATGATAGCGATAGTTTTAACCGAATAGATGATAACCATATTATTGAATCGTATGTACATGTGCAGACGATATAAATATGTGACTAATTTCATAAAAATATCCTCGAGTAGCTGAAACATGGCGGACCGTAGTAAAATAAATTGAGTGCATGCTTTATTCTCGTCATTTGACAGAAAGAGAAGAAAAAAAATAACATACTCTTTCTATCATTAAGTATGGTCGTCTTTTTTGCTTTCTCCGAAGACGCAACCAAGAGTAAACATGATACCTTTAGTAATGCCTGGCATTTCTGTGATTTAGATTCTAGGATATTGCGTGCTAGTTACATTTCTTTTAATGAGTCATAGAAAAAATTGTTTTTGAAAATAACAAATATAGATCTGAACGTCTGTATTGACATTTAAAAGTATTCACAATATCTTAATTTCTATTGTTTTACCTATACATGGGGTTAGAGTGTGTTTATATTGGTCGACTATTTGATATACTGATAAACACTATGCGATATTTATTTAACAAGAACTTCGAAAAAAATGAAAATAAAGCTAATGGATATAAATAAATTTCGCGTGTCATTTGATGTCAAAATCAAACTAAACTGAAATAAAAACATGAAATCTACTCTGGTGATTCTATTTACAAAAAACACCCATCAGTTTCTTAAATATGCAGCATAAAATCTTATATCGATCAATTTTGTTTTCAGTTTACAATCGAAGATCTTCGTAGGGAAAAGAAAAATACTATCGCTAAACGAATAGATGTTACGGTGTGCATTTTTACCCTTTTCTTCTTTCAGCTTGATTTTTATGTATGGCGGTTACTTTACTGTCAAATCGCATCGGTATTTATAATTGAATTATGAAAACTTGAAAGTATTTTGGAAATATGCAATTACTTTTGATCATTTTAATAATAATAATATACCATTAACAGGACACATGCAGCCGAATTTAAGTCGCTGAAAGAAACAGGAGAACCATAAAAAAATATCAAGTCGTTCGGTTGGAAATGTTTTCACATTTTTAATGACACTTTATTTTTCTTGGAATTGTAAACACATCAATGAAAGGAAAAAGGTGATGCTGGTAACTTGGTTAAATCAACTAAATTTTTTCAACATCAAGACTATGTGAGACTTAACTAACTCAAGTTAATATTCCGTGAACTGCATTCTAGCATCGTTATGATGTATACAATCAAGAGTATTTGCATATATGTTTCAGAAAGTTTATAACTATCATAAATACCATTGAACTAAACGAGTATGCTCCATATGAAACATTAGACTTCATCCCGAAAAAATACTACAAATATTCGATTTGGCAAAAGAAACTCGAATGAGACCTAGTTTCACGACATTAGCTATTGTATTGTGAAATAAATTGATTTAAACATATACGCATCTGCATATGTTTTTCAATTTCACATACAGTTTCACACAGCGTTCATTTTATTTCGATAAACAATTTCTGTGCTAAGTGCCGATGACGATTCTTCAGACAATCAAAATAGACTAATTTACTGATACAAGTGTAATAAATATCACTAAGAGCTTTCCATTAAACAACTTCAAACAAAAGCACTTTCATATGAAATATACTATTCACAACACGCTAGTAGATAAAAAAAAATGGTGATGATCTACTCGGCTAGATTTGAGCTTAACCACACATCTTTTGTTATGAATCAGTTCAAACTCTTAGAGAAGCGTCATATATCAGTCAAAAATGTGCTAGAAGAAGTAGAGACTGATCAACTAGACAACTGCCAACATCTGTACAAAACAAACAGTTACGATATATTTAACGTTTGCCGGTGATTTATGCATTGGCTTACACATTTAGTCATTAGCGATCGCACAAGCTGTGCTCGTTTATTTTTGTAGGTTTGGGTGTTTCTGACAGATTGATTAAAGACAGACACTAGAAGGTGAAACCAAATCATTAGTTTGAGACGTAAACCAATGGAGAATAACGCAACGCCATCTAACCTAATCCAAAATTAAAATACTCGAATCTCACTGCAAGCAATATATCGTGCTGTGTAGAAAGACATCTGATTCTATTTTTTTTCTGTAATAATTAAAAAAATAATTCAAGCATGAATTGCAGCATTCTCAAATAGTTAAATAATAAACGAATCGATTCCAGTGAAAAAGAACATGATGAATACATATATATTTCTTATAAATACTAACACACAATTACAATAGATTCATATTTTTTCGCGTTCTAGGAAGTATTTTATTTTTGAATTTCAATACACAATATTTGTTTGTAAGAATGAGATCGATCTTTAATGTTGAATATTGCTATTGAACTCGTGTATAATTCTAGTAGAAAATCCCTACAAACAAATCTAGTTAAATGTAACGATAGTAGTTAGTGATGCCACCAGAAATTTTTATTTTGGGGCAGCGGGCTTAGCCCTCAATTACAACGTGATAATAGATTTACGGCAATATCAGAAAAGATTATAGAGGGTGTGTGAAAATTTTCAAAAACTCTGGAGGAGCTCAGCTCCTCTGTGGCGCCACCACTAATAGTAGTATGTTATTTTTGTATAGATATATTTCTCATAAGTATTATATCGAAGTTTCACCTGAAAATGACATATTACTTGCTCTATAAGCAATCATACTATTTACGATACTTCTAATATCACGATTCATTTGTTTTCTATTCATACATTATCTTGTGATTTGCATACAGTGCAAAGGCTACTACCGTTTTATCACAAGCCTTCGTTTCAATTTCGATCAATGACGTTTAATATGACTAAGATGGAAATAGGCAAATTATTTCATCGCACGTGTAATATTTTGCAACCTACCGAGACAGTGAGTCTATATGTTTATCTAGACATGTAATGTGACAGAAAGCAAAAAGGTATTTGCAAGTGAAGGTTGATTCTTACGATCATACACATATAACCAACTTAGAAAGGGCTGTCAGCTTTCAGTATCATTTTTAGAAATCAATCAGTTTTTCATTGAATATTGTCCACAATTAAAAGCACAACTTTATCTATGGAAGATATCAATGATCGTATCGATACGCAACATCGTTTTTATGATGCAGATAGAGAACCAGGTATTATGATGGCTCCGGTAGAGGGATACAATGACAAACCTTTAGTTCCACTTGAAGAAGCAGTCGCACCGTTTATTCTGCGCATGCCTACTATTCTAGCTAAAGTGGAACAGTGCAAACAATATGCTGCGGATTATCATGACAATAATCTTTCAATTGATGAATTAGCTGCAATTAAACTTTACACATTGGAATGGAGCCCATATCAAGATTCGCTTTACTACATTCTTAATACAATACTACGAACGGAAGATCGTACAGCTTTGAAACCATGGTTTCTATATTTGAAACTTATTCTTACAGGACTAGCCCGTCTTCCAACGAATCAACATCGAGTTTATCGTGGAGTTACATTAGTCAACGATGACCAGTATCGACAAGGAAATACAATTGTTTGGTGGGGTTTTTCATCATGTTCAACAAAAAGAAATGTTTCGGAACATGAAATTTTTTTAAATGAAACTGGTGAGAAAACACTTTTCATTATTGATTGTACTACGGGACGAGACATTAGTCAATATTCAATTTTTCAACAAGAAAAAGAAATATTACTTTTGCCGGCAACTACATTACAAGTTATTCGAACCTATCGTGACACACAGACGTTTTCTAATATCATTCATTTACACGAAATTAAATCTCCATATACACTTTTAGAACCTATACTGCTAGAAACAAAAATGTTAAATCCGGTAAAAAAAAGAATGCTTAACATTTTACGAACATTCTTGAAACAAACGCAAACAGATACAAGAACAAAACTTGATCAAGAAATCGATCGATTCAGAGATCGTGAACATGCATGTATACGTAGAGAACGTTTTACTGATGATGAAATAGAAACTGTTGTTAATGAAGTCATTATGAAAAAACAATGTCAAACACTGTTTTTAAGAGGAGATGAAATTACACCGCAAGGTGCAATAACGATTGGCAAATCGTTAGAAAATAATATTACTTTATCTCAATTATTTCTAACAGATATTCAAATTGGTGATGTTGGTGCTGAAGCTCTTGCAAGATCCCTTGCAAATGGAGCTAATTCAAGTTTAAAAGAACTTTCCCTTAATAACAATGGTATTACAGACGATGGTGCCGAACAATTAGCAAACATGTTAAAACATAATAGATCATTAATTAAAGTGTGGATAATAAAAAATTGTATCAAAGATCGAGGTATACAATCGTTGGCCAGAGACGTGACCAATAACAATACGCTTCAGCTACTTTCGCTTATATGGAATCAATTCAAAACAAGTGAAACAGTCAATGTAATTATTCAAATGCTTGAAATTAATCAAACATTGACACGATTTGAAGTCAATGGGCAGAGTCTATCGTCACGCGATTTAAAAAGGCTTAAGGACTTTGTGAGAACAAGCGGATGCATTGGATTAACCATACATTAACTTTTGCGTAATGTTGTGTACCTTGTCGAAGTGGTTTTTCAGTTTGTCATATTGAATATGATGAAATGTGCATATCGTTGAATTTTGTTTTTCTTTGTACAATAATATTAGTTATGAACCAAAAGTTCTCAATGGAAGTTTTTTTTAACTTGTGGAAAGAAAAAACAAAGTAAAATTGTTATTTAACTCTTAATAAACTATTTGCATTGTTGTAAATTAAAAAGAAAATCACAATGATATACAGTATGATTTCGGAAGATTTTGGAAGCAACGAAATCTTCTTCCTGGTTCTTGTTTTCACATTAATTTTCGAGATTAAATAAAATCGCTATGGGAAAAAAATCATTCGCAGTCTATCTGCAACTGTAGTAAATAAATAAACGATCTTTATCTTTCTTCATTTATTTCCTAAATTAGTCGATTGATTTGATTGAGATCTATTATAATATGTAAATGTTAAGTTCCTTTAAAAATTAAGCATAATGGATGAGAGAAATTATTTCATGTAGTCTAGATATTAATATAACGTTTTTTTCATCATGCTTGTGACACATAGTCTAATAATCGATTGTAATTGTCTGACAAAATTACGAAAAAAAAACGAAGATTGGTCTAATTTTGTGATTCATAAAAATGTCTTTCTAAAATTGATTCATTCGTCATAAACAACGTTCTGTTTCTTTTTAAATGGTTTTTTGAGTGTTCTCATACTTCAAAACAACTAATCATTGTTGCCTCTATGTACCTGTACTTGTTTTTTTCTGAAACAAATAGTATGATTATAGCTTATGTATATTCATTTCTTTGCATGAATGGTATTTGGGCCACAAAATCTTGTAACCCCCCCCCCCCATATTAGNCAGAAAGTTAAATAAAAGTGGATTAATTTAGTAGCGAATAGTAAAAACAAAACATGAAAATAAAATAATTTAGCGTAAAATTAAAAATTTCACACAAATCGCCTTTCCACGATGACAACCATACATTGTAGCTTCTACATTTCGATAACAAAATATTTCATTATCTTAACAGACCATAAAAATTGTCGTTTCTATTCGATGCATATTCTGAATATCATGTTCCGATAGGCTGCTTTCTTATAGAAACATGATTAAATAAATATGTTTGTGAAATAATAATAGAACTTGAAAATTGGTGGTGAATCCGATGCTAAACAGACTTCCTGAGTTTCTTTAAACAAAACATCTAAAATATTTCTTCACCTAGCATACACAAGAGACGAAATTCCTAATTTTACTTTTCATTAATGATGTGCTTTTTCGTTTTGATTACATTTTATTTCGTATATTACAAAACTTTAACTGAATACTATTTAAAATAGTTATACGACGAATGATTTATCTTTAATTCAGCACATTTATCAAACTCATCGCTAATACACGTTACACTTTTCATTTCAAATTGGAAAAACAACGTCATCCTTCAAATAGCAGTCATGATACATTGAGTGAAAAATATATCGATTAGGAGCGATGCGGCTTATTTCGTGCGTTTTTTTTCTCTTTCAATTAATGTATGTGAGCGGAAGAAAAATGATAAAAAAAAGCAATATTAATATCATTAGTAGTTATTTTAGTTATATGGTTGGCTTCCAACACGTGAGGTACAGGTAAACAGAAAAATAATAAGCGATATTGCATTTTTTTAATTAGAGAAAAATAAAATACTACGTAGTGCTGAAATCAACTGTTATACGACAACAGGTTTGTGTTTCTTCTGTATGATTTGTTAAAATACGAGACTTCTCATTTATCACGTGTAAACGTAAAATTAGTTAAATGAATAAAGAAATCAATTTCGTTTAAATTCAATATATTACATAGCACGCAAAATTTCAGCAGAATCATCTTTTATTATTTTCAATTCAAAGATAATTCCGTTAGATTATATTGATGGTTAAATAATATTTGAAATTTATAGGTAACTTAAGAGTGTATATTGGTTGTAGTAAATAGATTATAAAAAGACTGAGAGCACATTAAAGAATTCGTACTCATTACTACGCTGTTCGAAGTGTTTCATCGTTGCTTAGAACTGATGAAACGAAATATCGATTTTGAGTTCAAATTTTGTCAGAAATAGTTTTAGAAAATTCACTCCTGAAATTTTGACTCATCAAAAAAAATTTTAATTCGAACTATTTTCATCGAAATTTGCCTTTTCTGATAGTTTGATACTTTTAGTCCTTGAGGCATAGTATCTGATTGTATACTATAAATTATCTAATAATCAATTCAGATAAATGTAATATATGTTGTATCGATTTTTTCTGGCGCAAGATCTAAAACATTTAGGGAGTAACAGTCCGACCGTTTCTCTTCTCAAGCCGTATTTATTAAGTACTTCTCGTTATGATTTATTGCATTTTAGGACGGTTGAATAAGAGTAAAAAAATCTTATTTTGATTGCCAATAATAACATTGATATATTTTCGCAATTTGATGTTACAAAGATTGTTCTAATAGTTGCTTTTACCTATCAGAAAGCGCATATCAATGAAACTTATAATCAGAGGAAAAACGAATATTCGATTTCTAATTAGTTATCGTAATGAAATATATTTTTTCATTTATATTACTCTACAGCTGAATGTTTGTAAAAACAACTAACGTAATGACTTCAAGAAAAGTTAATGCCATCACTCGAAAAAATCCTCTGGAGAAACCTTATAGAACGTTAGTATCAATAATAGAAGACCAAGAAAGCTCCTCTGCCATAAAATTTGCCGCTAAAACAAATATAAATTTATCTCTTATGTCAAACGAACTCAAACCACCAGTTCCATATTCTCAATCTGTATCATTTCGATTAAATCCTACTAGTCCTTCACCATCAACGCCAACGCTAGCACCAGCATCAACGCGACCACTAACACCAACGCGATCTGTAACACCAACAAAAATGCGACCGCCAACACCAACACGATCTCCAGCATCAACGCGACCGCCAACACCAACGCCAACATCAATACCAACATCGTTATCAACGATAATAACCGTCGAACCCGCTAATAAAAGTTTCAAAACAGAATTTTATTATAATCCAAAACTTCAAGAAAAAATCAACCGATTCGAACCAAAATTACATGTAGATCTATCTTATTGTTCTCTTATCGATCAAGACATATCGATGATCGTTAGTCAAATCGTGGTTGCAAAAAAATGTACAGAACTTTGGTTATATGGAAATAAGATAACATCAAAGGGTGTATCGATATTAGCAAAAAGTTTAATAAACAATTCAACATTACAAAGTCTTGATCTCTCTTTCAATCAAATCTATGATGTTGGTGTGTTTGAATTAACTCAAGCACTCTCAGTAAATCAAAAGTCATCTCTTAGGTTTCTTTATCTCAGTAAAAATGGTATTGCAAATGATGGAGCAAGTTATTTGTCTGAAATGCTGAAAACAAATCGGAGTTTAAAAGAATTATGGTTATCAAATAATGAAGTTGGTGATGAAGGTGTAAAAAAGTTAGCTAATGCATTAGCTTATTATGATAAAAAATTGAAATTTTTATCTCTATCAATGAACATATTCATAACAGATTTATGTATTGATAGCCTTATTGAAATGCTTGAACATAATCAAACATTAAAAGAATTATGGATCGAAGATTGTAATTTAACGGAGCAAGGAAAGAAGAGACTTCAAGAAAAAGTAGATCGAAAGAAAAATTTTAAAATTTATCTGTAATATTTATTATTAGTGAATAAACTTGATTTCGAAATTTATAAATCTAACCTGCAGAAAATTTTTTTTTCGTCTAGCTAGCTTTGCTTGATTTAATTTAAATGTTCACGAATTGGTTCGGGCGGAACTAATGAAGTTCGTAGAAAGATTCAGAATTATGGCGAACAAGAGAAAATTGTTGCCATTTCACTGAAAATGCATTTCCTTTGAAATTTATACCAGTTCTCAGATTTATTCAATTAATCTATCAGGAAACTGGAATCTCAATATCGAATGTATTCTCGTGTGAAAAATAATCTTCTTCTGTATTCTACTATAAAAAGTAAATGGCTAAATCCGTTAGTAAAAGATATTAACAATCCAAAGTCATATGGGAGTTTATTAAAGATCTCATCAAACAGCACTATGAACGTTGAAAATATTTTAATAGTACCCTATTCAATCAGTAAACGATATAATTGAATGACGGATACTCTCTCAATCATCCACCGAACCGATCCAATAGCGTGAACTACTTTTGTAAGGTTCTGTATACGATTAGTCTTTAAGAAGTTCAAAACGAAAAACAATATATTAGGGATTCTACTGAATTTAGTACTATTACTGAATCGACAAGATATCTTTTAAATAATATATGCAGATGAATAGATCGTTTAAAATGACTCTCCTTTTGTTTTGATATTATCTCAACAAAATAATTACGATAAAAAACAACACTATGGAAAACTTCTTTCACTCATTCTTGATACAATTAATACCTTTCCACTAAAAACGAAGCGTCCGATGATCGCACCATATAGTTCTTATCAGTAAGTACCAAAATAGAATAAAATATCTCTAACAATAAAAATTCAAAGCAGAACATTTTTGAAACAGATTAAGTTAAATAATTCATTATTTGGAGATTTTTCTTTTTGAAATTTAATTACTATGAAAACACAATACGCTTGGTACGTCTATTTCTCGATTGAAACAATTCTAATGACAATACCATACTATGGTATAAATTTGTATGATTATCTGACGAAATCGAAACCATGGAGACGTGAAATACAAAAACGGAAGCCTCAAGATATTGAATTGAACGAAGCGTCTGTTGTTTTACATACAATAATCCATTTCGTAACGCGTGCTTCTGTATGGTATTTTCATATACATTATAAAACGATGGCAGATATGAACTCTATTTCGTTGATATTATTTATATTAAAAATGATTTTATTCGATGGTTTAGGTGTCGTATTTCATCAGTTTCAGCATTCGAAATTCGGTCGATTTTTCAATCATTTAAAACATCATCAATTACGTACGCCAACTTTAGCTAGTTCAGCATTTTCATCTATGGGCGAATTAGTACTCAGCAGTCATGTTGGTTGGATATTAATAGGCTTGGTTCCAGGCTCATTTTGGGATCATTGTTTATTTTTAGTCATATCATCGACAATTAAAAGATTATGCCATAGTAATTATGATCATCCTTGGGAAAACACGAAATTGTATCGTTTTTTTAAATTAGTTGGATCACGTGAACATCATGTACATCATTTACATCCGAATAAGAATTTTGCAGATTTATTTGTATTTTGGGATCAATTATTTGGAAATTTTCTGAATCCTGATGATGTAGACGGAATCAATAATTATAATAATACAACGATTCACAAAGCTTCGTAGAGATTTTATTTTCAATATTGTGTTTGACTTTGAACGAACGTGTAATATAATTTTTTTCTATCGAAAGTTGCTCGTATCTTTTTCTACATATACAATTTCATTAATTAGGTAGTTTATTTTTGTTCACATTGAATATTACTCGATCTAAAATGAGTATTTTCTTTTCAATGTTATTTGATTATAATTAGAGAAACGCTCATTCAAATGAAAAATAAATCTAGTGAATGCAATCAGTTGAAAGTAACGCTGGTACGTTTACGTTAATTTAAAATTAACGTTTGCTATAACCGTTAATATTAATGAATTAACGCTTTGAGCAAAACTGTTAGCCGTTGATATTAACGGTTAACTCTTTGAGTTAATTAACGGCGTTAATTAACTCGCATTAAATTAAATGGTTCACCTCTAGTTGAAAGTGTTCATACATTAGGCTAGCTTTTAGCTCAGTATCAATAAAATATTGTGATTCGTTCATTGTATCAAGAGAAACAGACATTGAACTATAAAATATTCTTAAGAATTACATGATTAGTTTACTATAATGAAATTGTTACCTCCAACTCTTAAGAATATCAATGCTGAATTTCGATTTCGAAAATAACCATTTTAAATTCTATATGTTACTTATTCTATCTTAAAACACGTATACAATAAAAGAAGAATTCTGCTAATAATATCAAACGAATGCATTTTCGGTTTTTGCACATGCTAGTACACGGCTTGTCCAAACGTAACGCTGTGACACGTTCTTTTGTCGGCCAAATGAGAGCGAAAACTTAATAGACCATTTTGTAGAGAATCAAATTCTGCATCGAATGGTGTATTACTCTGCATTTTTGTTTTTAATTTATTGGTTAGAAAATTGAAAATACGATTTTTGACAGCTTTAAAACCCGATTGTTTTTAAGAAAAAAAGTTCAAATTCACAACCAGCGAAAAAACTGTATCAGAAAGTACGCTTAGATTTGTCTATATCGAAAGAAATTTTTTTTAAGCTTGGTCAGCGAAGGATCGCGTTATGAGGATAAGCCGTACAAGACTTTGTAGAGTATAGAGATGAGCGCTGATATTCACTTTCTCACTCGCATATCTTAATTTCGTTTTAGGAACTTTAATTCAGTGATTTCTAAGTCTCAAATCTGTAGGCTTTTGCTGAACTGAAGTCGAATAAGGAGAATAAACGACGCAGCAAATCATCGAGATGAATAAAATAATTGTGTTATAATTCATATTGTTTATCAACCGAATTGCTTGATATTCGTTAAGCAATGCAACTTTTATCTTCAATTATGAAATTGATATAAGCTAGCTGCAACTCTTATGATAGCCTACTATTGCAAGCTTCCTGCGCCACGCCACCTTCTGTTTTGTTTGATTCATTGGTTGAAATAAATACGTCAATCGTGTTTTTTTTTCTTCCGTATGTTAGTTATTTCACAATATTGTGAGCATGGTGAGAAAGATCCAAAACATGATCTACTGTGCAAAATATAAGAGACGACGGTGAAAAGAGCCATACACATTACATTGTCGGTTTTTTTCAGCTGGTAAGTATTCAGGAAAGAGAACTGTTAGCCTTTATATGTTGCTGGTAAGCATGACAGATGCTTTTGTTTCGAGCGATTACTCATAAACTTGAGCAACATTTATGAAATATAGAAAGTAGCTTTAACAGTAGTGATTGATTGTATCACTCATGTAAAACTGCAAACGTTGAACTGAAGCATTAAGGAGCTCCCCTCTCCCTAGAAAAACAAATGTCGGCTTTTTAAAGAAAAACGGAAATAGATTTTCATATTATCGCAAGTTGCAGCTAGCTCATCTCTTTCCGAAGATTTATAAATCTTTGACAAATCGGCAGATTCCAGTAGACATTCGAAAAGAATTTCTTCATCCATCTACCTCATTTTTACATCTTATTTTACGTTCTTCTAAAAAAACGAATTCCCATCAACAAAATTGAAACTTCTCGGATCTAATCTAAGATTTATGCCATGCTTTCGTTTGATTTTAAAGGTGTAATTGAGAGTCAACTTTTTACCGAACATATTTGCTATAATTGATTCATTTGTTGAGAATACTGAGATTTTGCGTTGTCAAGTGGCTTTTTTTTGCACTATTCTGACATCATTCACAGCACAATAGTCATAGATATGCAGTAGAAATAGGAAATAAATGTCAAAGTTCTTTTCGATAGAAACTTACGCACTGTGGCTATAGCTTTAATTGAAAACTGTCGTGAATTCTACGTCTGTTTTAATAACAAAGTTATACTTATCCAACGAAAGGCTAGAAATAAACTATATATTAACTGCAAATCAAGTCTACTTTAACATATCACGGTGAATTTTTTACAATAGGTGATTCTTAATAAGATTACTTATCCTTCGAAATTTCGCCCAATTGAATTATCGTCAGCGGTAAAATTGTTGTGAGAATGGAACCGTAAGTGATAATCATATCTACATGTTGTTTTCTAGTATTGAACGTCGATAGTAGCATGTCTTCTAAGAATTTATCAGCTCAAATGGGCCCTATCTATCGCATTCCACCGTACTATTATTTACACGTATTAGACCAGAATACAAGTGTAACACGATTAGAAATTGGTCCAAAAAAGTTTTTTAAACAAGATAATGAAACAATAGTATTTGGACCTGACCAAATGATCACGTTAGCACCAAGACACTATTGTGTTGTTGAAAATCCTGTTGTGAAAAATGAAAATGGTCAAGCACAATTCGATAAGAATGGCCAAGTGAAATTGTCATATGGTAGTCTTGACGTTCGGCTAGAACAAGATTATAAAGAACCATTTCCATTGTATCCTGGCGAAGTTTTAAATCAAGTACGTAGAATAAAATTATTGAAAATATTATTCAATAATATATGTTAATATTGTTCAAGGCTCCCACACGTTTGAAATATGCCGGCGCTAATTCAGCATTAAGGTTAAAAGCTGTTTTAGACTTTGATGACAACGGAGAGCAACGCAAAGCTGGTGATGAATGGCTATTCGAAGGACCAGGTAACTAATTTATTTGAATGACGATATATTTAGTCTATGAATCTATTGTTTCGATTTGTTAGGTACGTATACACCACGCAAAGAAGTGTCAGTTGAAGAACATATTTCGGCTACGGTGATTGGTACAAATCAAGCCGTAAAATTGACGGCGAAAAAAGAGCTCATCGATCGTACGGGGCAGCGTCGTGTAGCAGGCGAAAGCTGGTTAGTAAAACAAGTGGGTGCCTATTTGCCATTGGCTTATGAAATGGTAGTGAGCACTGAAAATGCCTATGTTGTGACAGATAAAAGAGCTCTGCATTTACGTGCCCTTAAAACATTCATTGATGATTTTGGCCAGACTAGAAACAATGGTGACGAATGGCTAATCACGAAAGAACAAACTGAAACACATATTTTGAATGTCTACGAACAGCTTGTAGCGATTATTGATATGAAAACACTAAATTCAAGACAATATTGCGTTATTTTAAATCCATTTTCAGGTAAGAGCGTGTGTGATCATATTAAGATCGAGTCATAATGCTTTCTATTTTGATTTTTGAAGCTGATGGTAAAAATCAATTTGGCAAGAGGAAACTAGTCGTTGGTGAAAAATCCTTTTTTCTACAACCCAATGAGCAGATGGAGAAAGGAATTCAAGATGTGTTCATTCTATGTGGAGATGAAGGTGTTGTAGTCAAATGTATCGAATCGTTTCAAGATGAAATAGATAATGTAATCCGTGTACCAGGTAAGAGAAAAGAATTTGATTGAAGTTCCAGTGTAGATAAACTAGCAATCGCTAGATTCTATCTAGACAAAAGTTGAACGCATCGTATAAATTTATGAATACTGTTTTGAATAAATTTAAGGTGAACAATGGGTAGTGAGAGGGCCAAGAGAGTATATACCGCCCGTTCAAGTCGAAGTATTACAAAAAAGAAAAGCCATACCTTTGGGTAGGTGAACTACTTGTTAATATTTTGCCTATTTAGTATATACTTTTCTAGATGAAAACGAAGGTATCTATGTTCGAAACTTGATAACTGGTCGTGTTCGTGCCGTCATTGGTAATCCATATATGTTAACACAAGATGAAGAACTATGGGAAAAAGAACTACCAGTTGGAATAGAAGAGTTCCTTCGACGAGATTCTCTGTTTGAAAAATCTACCAGAACAACTGCAACGTCATCGTCGCAAACGACAAAACGTGAAAAATCTAAAGTAGTCACATATCGAGTTCCGCAAAATCAAGCCGTACAAGTCTATGATTACAAAGCCAAAACTCCAAGAATTATCTTTGGACCAGAATTAGTCATGTTAGGACCAGATGAACATTTTACATATATAAATCTTTCTGGATCTCTTATTGTTTCTTTACTTTCGCTTGTATTTCTGTCTATACTTTTGGTCCTGAGACGATTTGTGACTAACAAACGAATTTTCTTTCCGTCTATTTTTGCATTGATATTATGCTTTTTTCTACGCCGTTATATTTAATAAACGAAATAGGAATTATTGAATACAAAACATACTACCACTTGATAGTAGCGATTGATTTACCTTTCGGTTATTGAGTATGTAAAGTAAAATTGAAAATATGTATGTCGAAAATAGCTTATTCGGCGAAATAAAAGCTCCCTTGAAGACACGAGTAGATGCATCGGTTGACATGAATGTTGATTTTGTCTTATATCCTGAGGAATGAGAAAATATTTGTAAGTTTTCGTTGAAACTGAATCATCCTGTATATACTGTTTTCGCTTAAATACTATGACATTCCATGAAAAATTCTTTGGAAAACTAACAATTAGTGCTTCTCGCTTTCATTTCCGCTCTTCTATGCAGAATTTGTTTTACTCGCCCAACAGATACAACAATGAAATCTATCGAATATTTTCAATATTTGAGGCTATATGTTTACGTGGGCCATGATAGAATTGAGTTGTATCTCGGCGCAATCACCTTATCGAACTTCAAACTAATGTTGTGTTGTGGTAAGAAAATCATTTAACACCAGTGCTATACTGTCAGAACAATAATATAAGAGTGAACCGCGATTAGCTCCTCTAAAACATTATCAATTAACTAACACAAAAGATCTCTCTTTAGATGACAATATAAAATGGAATATTTTCCGTTAGCCCGTTATCATTCATATTTGCTTACTCCTATAGTTCTATGTAACATGCTGGATGTTGACATATTTCGAGTAATTAAAATTTATAAATGGCAGCTTTACAATTCAAATTGTTTAGATTCATGAGAATATATTCAACTGACAGCAATTTACTAAGCAGATATCTGAACATCAACTCGTCAAGATAACCCGTGTATAGATTTTCGTCTTGTAAACACGTTGATCATTGATATCATTATACAGGAAGTTAATTTTGATCAAAAGAATAAATGTTGTTCCTATGGTTAAAATTAACTTTCATGTATCGAAAGATATATAAAGTGGAGGCCAAAATTTTAAGGCACTTTTTGTATTTTATCAATATTGTCGTTGTTGAAGAACAGAAAACGTTTAAAACATAGATCATTAGATGCAGTATTGAACGGGCTACATGTTGGTATAAATAGTTCTGAAAAACTATTGGCTCTGATAATTAAATATTAATTATTAATTATTATTATTAATTAACAGTTATAGAATAATATTGTCATAATTTTCGGTTTTAAAGTACACAAGAAGAAAGATCGTTGAAAACTAAACAAAATGATATGTTTTTGTTTTACAACAATCGGTCTTAATACAAATTTTTAAGCACTCCTTTAGAAACTAATTAATAATATATTAGTAATGAAGAAAATTGAGCTTTAAGGAAAAGTCCCAAAGCTCTGGAAAACACTGAACTTTGCAGAGCAGAGTTTGTTCTATCGAACAAGACTTACCGACATTTTTTAGTATGCGCTATCCAAGAGATATAGCATGTTGAAAATAGTTTAGCAAAACCCAGCCGAAAAATAGCTAGGAATCATGGCTGAAATAACTGATAAACATTGAAAACATTGTGCAATTTGAAGATTGCACCGTAAAAAACGGTGCTAGTTCTCGTGTGATAGAGCAAACTCTGCTCTGCAAAGTTCAGTGTTTTCCAGAGCTTTGGGACTTTTCCTTAAAGCTCAATTTTCTTCATTACTAATATATTATTAATTAGTTTCTAAAGGAGTACTTAAAAATTTGTATTAAGACCGATTGTTGTAAAACAAAAACATATCATTTTGTTTAGTTTTCAACGATCTTTCTTCTTGTGTACTTTAAAACCGAAAATTATGACAATATTATTCTATAACTGTTAATTAATAATAATAATTAATAATTAATATTTAATTATCAGAGCCAATAGTTTTTCAGAACTATTTATACCAACATGTAGCCCGTTCAATACTGCATCTAATGATCTATGTTTTAAACGTTTTCTGTTCTTCAACAACGACAATATTGATAAAATACAAAAAGTGCCTTAAAATTTTGTCCGCTGGACAAAATCTGTTACTGTCATAAAAATCGAATCAATTAACAGTTGATGTTTTCGATATAATAGATTTGTGGTTCGTCTCGACAGCTATCGAAATCACTACTTGGATGTTGATTAAAAGCGATCTTTGGTGAAGAAAAATGAAAAACAAAAAGTGCCTTAAAATTTTGGCCTCCACTTTATAATGATCAATTGTTTTAATAAAATTTGAGTCAAAAATTTATACAAAGACAATTTAAAAATAAATCTATTATTTATAGTCAATAAATATATATTTATTGATGTTCAAAACGTTTTCACAAAAATGAATCTTGTTTGAGCATGTTCAATTGCTTTTAATTTAGTGTCGTTGTATTAAAGTGTTCAGAACATTTTCTAAGTGTTCTAATTGTTGTTTCAGTTCTCTATTTTCCCTGAGCACTTCGGACAGTGCTGGTCTTAATGGTTCAAATACACATTGTTGCATATGGCCATTTAAATCTTCACGCACACCACGCCATGGGCATTTGATATCGGCGGCTTCACAAGCTACTAAGGCTCGTCTACAGGATTGACTTGCATGTGTTGATAGACTACCTCGTGGAATGTTTTCTTCTCGACATTGTGTACAGATAACCAGGAGGCCATTCAACATCTCTAATACAATCCTCTCTTCAATTGCAGTTAATGTACCCGCTTGATACGACAAATTTCCCGTGAAACATGCTCGGCAACCATGTCTTCCATCTGTTGTGTTTACTGGATCTACAAATGGGTGGTGACAAATACAGCAAAGAAGAAAAGGGTTGATTGATTGATTGGGCATGTATACATAAGGATGTTCGAATGCCATTGTAATGATGTGCTTACGAATAGACTGCGAGACAAGTGATGAAAATTTGTTACGAAAAGGTTTGAATGATGTTTAGATAATATTTTTTGTGGATCTATACCGGTATATATATTATTTTTCACTCTTATCTTATTACTAATTACATAGTGCATGTGACTTTTCTCGCTCGATCTACATGAGAGAAAGATTCTTTACGCGTTACTGCTAATGTCATTGTTATCAACAGGAGCTTGTTATTATTCATGCTTATTCAAACAAATCCTGCTCGTTCGTCGAAGAAAACAAATTTTCGTTATTTACTTCAACGGTAAAATCCAAACGAGTGACTAATTGTTGCGAAAGAAGCTCTAAATAGAAATAAAGAAATTTAGTAACCAGCTAGATATTTCCTACTCTGATAATTATAAACTTTTTATTTCGAAACCGTTTTCGCGTAAATATCCAGTCAAAGTGAATCAAGACTCTAACTGAAATCAACAAGTTACCATATCAAAACCTACTAAGAAATTATATCTTTGTTTTTATTGGCCTGTATGTTCCTTGTTGATAGGCAATTAATTGAACCGTTGATGCTCTTGCTCTATTAGCATAATTTGTATCCTTCGGATGCAATGATATGAATGATCCGTGTAGTCTTTTATGTGTTTTACATTGGTGACGTAGTTCTCTTTCATAGTTAATGAAGAAATTAATAATTATTTCGACAAAATATTGACAAATCAACAATGAAGAAGACAACAGCTTGAAGGTTACGCGTCAAACAGCCGCAATACATACTATGTATTACACTTTTGATTCATAGAATAATAAAAGATATGAAAATTTTTCTACCACCACCATACTGTTCGAACCATAATTCATTGGTGCAATGTAGAAAAACAACAATCTCTACAAAAATTAGATTCACTTTTAATCCAAGGAAGGATTCATTCAAAGTGTTGACGATGTTTACATTTTTTACTACTGCAATTTTTTTATTCTTCTACTCTTACTATGTTTTATTAGTAGCGATTAACCCAGCTATTATTACTGTAGTTTCCACGGAAGGTTGATGAACCAATGATGAGTGGCATGATTAGTCTCTGGAGTCATATATATACTTTACTATAGAGAGTATTTATATTCAGTAGCTTATCGTTGAAAACAATACAAATCATGCAACGCAACCCGTTGGATCTAACAAAATAGTTGCATTGCTTTCAGTATTGGTTCCCATGTTCTAGAAGGAAATCATTATTTTAAATATCTATCATCGCTCGTTACATAGCAAGTACTCGCTTATAAAATTTAACACTCTGAAGTTCGAACTGTTACAAGTTTTCCTACAGACATCAGATGATGCCATCAGGGATTCAGAACGTCGACATGATTATTATTCACTTCAACATGTAGGTACACCCATAGACACTTCTGTTTGATGTGAGGCGAATTCAGAACGAAGACAAGCTTGAGAAAATTGATGATGCTGACACATAACTACTTATTTTCTACGCAGTACCATATCTATGAGTGTGAGTTATTTGTTCAATTTCGATTGCGTTTATTTGTTCTCAATAAAGAAAACTTTCAAGTTCGATGCCTTTTCTTTCCGGAGCTGAAAGCATTATCGATTGGATTATCATATCGAGTTCGGCATCGAGCGTTGCCTATATCGCTTTGAAATCATGACTTATTGTTTATAAATAAAGCGTCGTTGAAAACAGGAAAATATCTTGTAAAAAAAACTACTAAATAAGTGCCATCGAATTATAACATATAGCAGCACCTAGAATCCAAAATAGTTTTGGTTTGTTTCTATGTACAGCACTGTCTTCATATTGTTTGTTGTGTGTGCCTCTACTAATGCTGTTCCAGAAACTGGAGGATCCAATGATATTAACTCAGCTGAAATGAAAGCCGCAGTTTGTGTCGGTGTCTGTCGTATGTTTAACAGGATATATATATATATATTAGTTAAAGAATAGTCTAACTTATCATTTCTTTTCCATTAGCCGACGTGACTGTTGTCAAAACTACTGTATGTTTCTCGGGTGATAGTTGACTACTGTTGGGTGGCGCGCGTCGACTAGCAATTAGTAAAGTGAACAATGGTGATAGGGTGTTGGCTTTTGATGGTTCAAAGCTAGTGAACAGCGAAATGATTTTGATGCTTGAAAGTAATTGATACAGGTAAGGTAAATCAATTGAAGTTTTCGAAACTAATAGGTAAATTATGATCTGACCTATATTTGTTATTTCAGCTACGTTGTATACATTACAAACTAAATCTAACCATACAATCCGTTTAACTGGAGAGCACTTGATCCGAATTGTCTCCGATACTGGAATGCTCACATACGTACATACCGGCTGAACGAGTGAAGCCTCATCGTGATGCTCTTTTTGTTCTATCTGAAAATCGACGTCTCATCATTATCATTAGTCATTGCAACATGAAGCGAGAATAAAATAGGATACCATATCCCGCTCACTATGACAAATAATAAAACCTCATCGATTTCATGAAATAATGCAAAGTTTTGTTTCTCTCTCTCTCTCTCTGTCTCTATAAGTACAATCATAGTGAATACTGTTCTGGCTAGCTGCTTCAGTAACATAAATAGCCGTTGAATAGACCACGTTTCGATGGCACGATTACGATTCTATCATACCTTGTCACGGTCTGTTCCATTTATTCAGCCCTGGGATGGCGGAAGACACAAGTCGGAACAAGATGGTTTACACTGGGCACCATATATCATGCTCAAAGTGGCTACACAATTTTGTCCATCTATGTTAAATGTCCCCCTTAAGAATACGAATGACTCACAACTAAAGTAATAACTACACATAGATTTTAAAAAGGCATGCATTGTATTTTCGATTATATTCAATAGAAATCAATAATTCAGATTAAATCAAATACTAGTCGACTAAACACCAATTAAACGTAACGTTAAAGCTTGATATTCGTGATCATCGTATCTAAACATATCAGCTCAATAAAATATTCGGTAAATGAATCTCTTACTCATAGTACAGGATTCATACAAATTTATCTTTTTATAATAATTACTAATTTTACAACTATCAGGAACAACCTTAGACCTAGTAGATAGCAGAGAAATATTTAATAAGTTTTGAATTTTGAAAACAAAACGTAGAAGTTTCTCAATACACCATAAGTACTATTACAATCTTTCAATGCGTAATATTGAAAGTTACGTTTTATGATCAACTATCAACGTAGCCAGAAATAGATTTATGACATTTGTAAAAGCGATCAATTTTTATTGTTTATATGATTATAAAAGTAAAAGTTAGTGCTGTTAGACGTAAATTCAATAGTGAAACATCCCGCGTAAGCAATAGCCAGTCATATTCGCTAGCCTTTTCTCTAAATGCACCAGTAATCTTATACTAGATTGGAAAATAAAATCTACGCATCTATAATCGTTGTTGTTGAATGCTCTTGTATAACTTTTATGACTTAGTTGCTTTTGCAGCGTCTGCAAACGTATACCATTGTTAAAAATACCTCGTTGGTTTAGTCTTGCCAATAGATAATTGGACAATTCTCTATAGCAAAGCATCTTATCATTATAACTTGTGCATAAATAGAAGATGCCACATGTAGTCGAATGATAACTCGCTGTCTTTTCTTTACTCTTGTCTATCAAGAACACAAAGCACACCCAGTCTAGCAGAGACAACTAATACACCTTGATATTCATATCTTGTTCCTTTAGATAACTCTTATTTCATATTGCTTTTCAGGCATTGTTACCTACCATTTAATTTGGTGGTTAATATTTAAAAAAAATAAAACGATGAAATTAATATTACATAGTACAATTGCATTTGTTGCAATGGTTTCTATATGTTTTGGTGCGCCATTCAAATCAACCGATAAATGTGGCTACAGTGTAAGTAGCATTCAGCTGAAACAAAAATAATTAAATTCACTTGAGACACTCATATATTTCATTTCTAGGCATGTAATTTAGGTCAACCTGATAAACTTAATGTTCATATTGTTCCACACACTCACGATGATGTTGGCTGGCTGAAAACTGTCGATCAGTACTTTTATGGAGGTTAGTGCAATTTTATTACAATATCAAATTAAGGACTCTTGCAATTGTTTTGTTTGTGTCAGCTCGTAATGATATTCAACATGCTGCCGTTCAATATATTCTTGATTCAGTTATTCCAGCATTGGTTGAGAATCCTGATCGACGTTTTATTTATGTTGAAATGGCTTTTTTCTGGCGTTGGTGGTTAGAACAAACTGAAGACATGAAAAATACAGTAAAACAGCTTGTAAACAGCGGTAAATAATTATAGTCGTTCAATAACAATTAATTATATTCATTAAAATAGGTCATCTTGAATTCATTTCTGGGGGATGGTGTATGAATGACGAAGGTGTAACACATTATAGTTCTATTATTGATCAACATAGTTTAGGCGCTGAATTTTTACGTGACGAGTTCGGAGAATGCGGTCGACCTAGGCTGGGCTGGCAAATCGATCCATTTGGTCATTCAAGAGAAGTAGCATCACTCTTTGCACAAGTTAGTTTATTAGAATAAAATCTTATTCTCATAAATATGATACTGTCTATAATAGATGGGATTTGATGGATTATTTTTTGGTAGAGTTGATTTTCAAGATTATGCTATACGAAATTTAACTAAAACAATGGAAATGATCTGGAAAGGAAGCGCTAATTTAGGTGAACAAAGTTGGCTTTTTACTGGTATATTACCAAGAGTTTACACCGCACCATCATCATTTTGTTTCGACTATCGTTGTCGTGATGAGCCAATTAAAGTTAGTTTATCATTTGAAACTCTCTTGACTAATATTTTGATGTTCGCATAGGATGATCCACGATTGCATGACTATGATGTAGATCAAAGAGTTCAAGCATTCATCGATGCAGCACATATTCAAGTTAACGTTTATAAATACATAAACATAGTCATATGTATTCTGTTTTTGTTAGGCTCGTAGTTTTACAACTAATCATATAATGATGACTATGGGTAGTGATTTTCATTATGAGAATGCTAATGAATGGTTTAAAAATTTAGAAAAATTAATAAAACATGTCAATGCTAAGGTACTTGTAGATGTATAGATTTAGAAAAGGAGTGTTTCCTTTTCTATTGTATTCTATTTAGCAAGCAAATGGCAGCGATGTTAATCTATTATATTCTACTCCTACATGTTATTTATATGCGTTAAACAATGCGAATAAAACGTGGACAACGAAGACAGATGATTTCTTTCCAATTTCATACAGTGAGCATGGCCTTTGGAATGGCTATTTCACTTCAAGACCAGCATTGAAACGATATGAACGTCATTCAAATAATATTCTTCAAGTAACAAAACAGCTTAATGCATTTTCCAATATTACACTACGCCAAGCATTTTTTCCTCTAAGTATAAATTGAAAAAGAAAACAAAAAATTTTGTTTTTTGTATTTAATTTAAAAAAACATGTCAATATACGCGTATAGATGAAGCGATGGGTGTTGCTCAACATCATGATGCAGTGAGTGGAACAGAAAAACAGCATGTTGCCGATGATTATGCTCTACGTTTATCAGATGGTATTGATTCGGCTCTTGTAAGAGAATCGATATGGAAATTTTGATGGTGAGAGTGATTGTTTTAAATTTTAGTATGTTATTAATCAAGCATATAAAAAATTGCTACCGAAAGAAAATCGGTCACCTGTAGTACCCAATCAATTTCTTTGTCAACTATCAAATATTAGTGAATGTTTACCTATCGAAGGACAAGATATTGTAAGTGAAAATATTTTTCGTTTACAATCATTTATCAATGAAATCATTCATAGTTTACATTAACAATTTGGAATCCGACTATTCAACCTGTTCAGCATATAGTTCATGTGCCAGTGACGAAGTATTATACAATACGAAATCCAACGGGTGAAATTATTTTCGCTGATGTAAAATTTTTCAAACAATTTCATTTTCAGTTAGTATTGTTTCTTTGATTTTAATTCTGCAGGTTCATCAAATTTCTCAAATAATTAAAAATATCCCTGGCCGAACAAGCTCTGCGCAACTTGAAATATCATTTCAAACGTCGATACCTGCTCTTGGCTTTAATACTTATTATTTTCAAGCTATAAGTAAAATATGAAATTTTCTTCTAGTTGAATCTAATTATGATTTATTTTCATTAGGTGAGATCGAAATAGAGAAAAAATCTTCGATCGAAGTAACATACAATGAAGCATGTATTCTTCAAAATCAGGTAATTCATAATTAGAATATTCTGCATTGTTTATCTATCAAATATTTTACGTGCAGAATCTGCGAATTGAATTTGATGATCAAGGCAATTTGAAGAATATTACAAATCGAAGGAAAAATTTTACAGTTTCATTTTCTGCTCAAGGCTTTTATTGGTATACAAGTAAATATCCACAATTTATTGAATATATATTATCATCTTTGTGATATTTTTAATGTTCAGGTTTTCCCGGTAATAATTCTGGTCCAGAATTTCAAGCATCTGGTGCTTATTTCTTTCGACCACTAACACCGACGCCATTGCCCGTAAGCAATACACGTAATATGTCAGTACAAAATAGAGATTGACGAAGTTTTGTTCATTATATTTCGTATATTTTTAGAACATGCACCTATTCAAATGTATCACAAAAAGCATCGATTGTGTATAATGAATGGGCTAGTCAAGAAATCAGACTCTATGATGGTGCAAACAATGTTGAAATGGAATGGATTGTTGGACCAATACCAATAGATGATAATTTTGGAAAAGAAATAATTATGCGTTACGATACAGATATTCAAACTGATGGATTATTTTATACAGATGCTAATGGACGTGAAATAATAGAACGTAAACGAGATTATCGACCATCATGGAATTATACAGTCTATGAAAGTGTTAGTGGAAACTATTATCCTATTCCTAGTCGTGTATGGATTAAAGATAATCAAAGACAAATGACTATACTGACAGGTAAAGATAAAACTGTTTTTTTTTAAATTTTATTTCTATTCTCTCTACTCGTTTAGATCGATCTGAAGGTGGTTCAAGTATGCATGATGGTTCTGTGGAACTTATGATTCATCGTCGTACACTCTACGATGATTCACAAGGTGTCGGCGAACCAATGAATGAAACAGCTTACGGTAAAGGTCTTGTAATATGTGGCAAACACTTTCTTATTATTGAACCACCTGAAAATAGTGCGCTTTATCATCGTCCTACTGCTCAACAACTCTATATGAGTCCTATTAGTACATATGCATTACCGGCAGTATCGTATACTGATTATTCAAATAATTTTCGTCAAACATGGTCAGCTTTAACTGCACAAATGCCATATAATGTTCATTTACTGACATTAGATCAATTGACAGTAAAAGTATTTCTTATACGTATTGAACATTATTTTGAATTACATGAAGACGACACTTTTTCGAAACCGGTTCAAGTCGATTTACAATTTTTTTTCGATAGTGTAGGTAAAATAATGGATTTAACTGAATTAACACTTTCAGCTAATTTACCATTGAATGATATGAATCGGCTTATTTGGAGAACAGCAAACGACGAATCATCATATTCAAAACCAACACGTACGAAGAAAAACGTTTTTCATTTATTCAATGAATCTAATTGTATTATGATATTTTAGACTCGAAGGCATCATTGACGAATACAATAGTAACACTCAATCCTATGCAAATCAAAACTTTTCAAGTTACATTGGAATAAATAATTTTTGGTCACCAATATAATTTTACTTTTCTTTTCTAAATTAAATAAAAGATAATGATTGCCTGGGAAATCAAAAACTAATTTCCGTGTCACATATATTGACATGATGAAACGAAGATTCATCAGAGTATTGCTGCGTAGTAATAAATACATTAGTTCTGTTTGTGACCAGAGGTGAAAGCTGATTCCATTAATTCCAAATGATTCGCTGTAATTGCTATGGTGTGAAAAGCGTTTTTTCCTCCTTGTTATTTACTCATTTTTCATTTTGATCTGATTAAACGAAAATTCAATATCAAATGTGTGTTCAACATGAAAAATTGATTCAACTCTCAAGAAAAGCAGTTAAATCCAAATGATTCTATAACCACAGAATCAGCTTTTACTGCTTGATTTGTGCACGGTAGCAATCGGAATATGATTTGTTAAATAGAAAGAAATGTAACAGTGGCGGATCCAGAAAATCTGTTAGGGGGTGGGGCTCCTGGCCAAAAACCAGTTTTTCAAGTCTAGTTGATGCAGAGCGACTATTTTCTATTTCATTTCTGCTGGGGGAAATCGAAAAAAATTTCTTAAGGGGAGTGGCGATCGCCGGGTAGCCTAACTGGTGGATCTGCCACTGAAATGTAAGACTTACTAGGAACACTAATATTGAATAGAAACTAAAGTATAACACTATTCATGAAAAGATAATTATTATAGACCAAGTTCGATTGAAATTCAGAAATTTAATGAATCTAGAAGAAATATATGGTATTAACCAATCGAAACAAAAAGATTTTCTGACCCGTTTCAAGGCATTCTATTTAGAATGTGTCATGGATTCAAATAATACTCAATGATCCAAAATAGGTGAGATAATTACTATTGAGTAATATTTTTTGCTGTTGTTAGTTTATCGACGCAGTCACACTGAAACAGTGAGACAAGTCGGAATTACAGCTTCATCCTGAAGTATACCTTTGACATATTAGTCGTAAATCAAAATTTTTGCGTAGGATATCGAGATCCTTTTTGTGCATTTAAATAAATTGAAATTTTTAATCAAAATCATATAAAAAAAACGTCAATATCTGGCAATGAAATTTAAATACTTTTATTTTTAAAATAGCATTTTCTTATGTCTCAACCAGATCTTTGCTAGATTGAAGTTTATCTTCATATAAACATAATTTTCAACAAGCAGGTCAAGTTCAAAGAAAGGAGAACAACAAAGAGAAGAATTTAGCATAAAGAGCTATATAGTTGTACATTAAATTATTTAGCATTATCAATGCATTTTTATTTATGCTTTAACTACTTCATAATTCATGCGATGAAAAGTTCTTTTTTTTCCTTGAAAATATTTTTATGAGTGTGGGTGTGAAGAGAGATAAGAACACCCACACCCCACACCCTCGTTAGAATTGAATTCCGTTAAAATCCAACATCGGATCCGATTGAATTCAATACCAAGGATCCGACTGTAGGTCCGTGTCCAGGAATTCCATAAGATTTCTTCGGTTTTATTGAAGCACATATGATATTCGGCATATTCACTGTCTGATCCTTGTCGGAATCCGATAGGATCCTACTGTCGGAATGATTCTCCAGGGATGAGCACCTTGTATGGTGGACAGAAAGCTGGACCATCTGACCGATCTATAATTGTAAATCTCATTCCAGACCTATCCTTCTTTATTAATATATCACATCCATGCTTATAGGCATGTCTCGGGCAGACATCTAAATCTAAATTTATTTTCTAAGAAGTTAACTTAAAACCGAAGGCGTTGTGTTACTGCTAAAAATATTATTTAGTATCCGACTAGTTGCCAAACAAAAACAAGAAGTCGACGAACTTCATCCATTCGAATGGATTCATCGTGGATACCTCCAACACTGGTTTATATGCAGCAACAATTGATTCGTTATGTTTGTTCAGCGTGTCTCATATTTGGTATTCCAGGTTGTTTATTAAACGTTATACTTTTATCACAACGACAAGTGCGTGTCACATCGTGTTGTAATTGTATGTATCGACTCAATCTAATGTTTCACGCTCAAAGAAAAAACAAATGCAAATGAATTCACGGAGACATCTCTATGTTTCGTGTAAATGAAGTGTTCATAAGAAATGATTTTGATTTCCTATCTCAGAATTTTCCTCTGGCCAGTGTCGAGTAATTCTGATATACAAGGAAGCAGTTTATTATAAGTCGAGACGAGTAGTAAGATGATGGCTACTAAAATTCTATCTAATAACGCTACATGACCAATCTTTATTGTTGTCAAGAAGCAGATTGAATATTTGATTTAGACTAGAGACTGGTTATATTAAATTCACTATGGAGACCAAATCTATCAATTTTGTTACTATATTGTAAGTGTCATTAAAATATGATCGATGCACTACTGACAACAGTCAATTTACAATCATTTACGATCGTTATGATGCGTCATCTATGTTCTGCTTTACTTAAAAAGGCGAGCTTATATTGACTTTCAGCTATATTGAGAAATGACGTTGGATATTTCACAAACGTTGATGCACGAATTTTGATATTGATTCTTTCTTTTTCTTTCATCATTGATATTCGTTTGGATGAATCACAGGCCTCGCAGCAGTACTACTTTCCTGATTTCTTTTTGATGTCCTGATATTTTATGATTTTTTACCAATAGGCCTAAATATTAATGACTTTCACATTTTCTTTTGCTATGATCAATATTTCAAGGTTTATATAGATGTAATTATTTGAGAAGTTTTACGAAAAAGCTTTTCAGCGCAGCCCCGTTGGGACTAAAATGTGGAACTCACATATTTCGATCAATTAGATACTGATCAAATAGAAGTTTTATTTTTTCAGAATAGTGAGATCATATTTTGTTCAAAAATAAGATAATAAAACCTTTTTAACATTTCAAGTTTATTGAATCTATCAATAGGAAATATTACTAGAGAGAACGTATAAAAAAACTTTTTGTTTAGAATATGTTAGTATGATGAAGTGTTTAGTGGTTCCATTGAGAAATATTGTGAATAATAATAGTTTAAACAGTATTTAAGATATAGCTATCAATAATATTGAGAAATTTATATTTTTTCGTATTATCAGGTGAGAAATTGATACATTTTTTCATAAACGAAAATTTGATAAAAGCTTCCCAGTGGATGGAAAAGTTGCGAATTGTAAATACACTAGTTGCTAGCTTCTGTAGCGGTAGCATACACCCGTTGCTAACGTCTGTAATAATAAAAATATATGATACTATCGTAACTATGGACTAATAATAAAAACGACAGATTTTGATGATTAATTAGAGATTAAATCCTAATTATAATGATTTCTAATTAGTGAAACTAGATTTTTATTACTGATGTGAGTAGCGATGAACATAGGCAATCGACCTGTACCAAAAACGTTTCTAATTAGTGCATCTAAGTGTTACTGTTTTTTATATTTTATGTCTGTAATGGGGAGGGGTTGGGGTGGAGTACAGGGGAGCCGTAAACACCTAACAATTCAACTTACACTCACTATTTTTTTCGAAAATATATGTGAGTTCCACAAAAAAAGAATTAGAAGCAAGCATCCAACGAAAAGCGATTTCTTCACATTTTTGATTTTTCCTTCATGATTTATGAAGCTCATCGAAGCAATACACGTGGTTATAAAAATAAATTACCATTACTTTATTCAATTTTGAGAAAGTTTAATCGCTTAGTGCGTTATCCAAACAAGTCTACAAATGTCCTGATTCTTATCAAAAATCCGGATTTTTTTCCAATTTATGTCCTGTCTGAATTCCTGATTTTGAGACACAGGCTGCTGCGACCCCTGGATGAAATCACTGCATTATAAAGCATTTTCCTTGATGTCTCCACGTTTTTCTATCACTGAGAAAGAAGTACGTAAGTTTACAAACAAAACAAATATTAGTACGGTTAAAAATTCAAACTATATTTTATGTTTTAGAATAGTGATGAGAGAATTTGAACGAATCAAGCGAATTATAGATCTCGCAGCTCAACTGTGGACATATGATCATACTTTAACATTAGGTGCACTTCTCCAAAAGTGGATTTGGACAGATTGGATAGAATCTCGAGGGGATATCTTTCATCCTGAAGACACTCAAACTGAGCAACGTTTCAATGAAGCCATTAACAAAGCTCAATTATTGTCAACATCTCCTTCAGAACTCACTGAGCTTCAGCAAGACATCATTCAGAAAATTGAAGAACTTTGGCATCTTGTACCTGATCAACGTTTTGGACAATTTCTCTCAAATTATGCTTTTGGTCATTTCATGAGTCATCCGCCAAAGATGATGCTTCAACAAAATGATCAGACTATTCTTGAAGCAATGCAAGAATGTCACAAAGCTTAATTTTCCTTTTTTTTCACGCGATCATAACCGAAGTTAAACACCCAATTCACTCATATTTCATTTGATTTTAACATTACCTCTTTTCGTTAACAAATAAAAATAAATCCCTAGAGTGAATTATTCTACCGATAATAATTTACACGAGTAATAGCTACATCAATACTTCAGTTTGCTTTGCTTTATTAGAAAAACATTTTGTTTTCGTGCCTTTCATGCAGATCTAACGGGTTGCTTTTAATTTTTATCCATTGCAATATTAATTTATACTTACTTTCGGATTCCATTTATGTTATCAAATGTAATGCATGCATGTTGTTTAGAAACAAAATAGTCTTAACAACAAGTGTAACTCGATACATATATTTTCATTCCTATTCATTGATTATAGAATGATCGAATTTCACATGTATTGATATTATTCTAAGCTATTGAAGAACCACATGTTACACTACGTACGTTGAGTCTCAATAAATAGTTCTAGAGTAGTAGCTGATTACATTCAAAGCAAATACGAAATTGTAACGTTTATCAAAATGAATAAACTGCCTACCAGTTTGAATTGAATAGAATAGAATAAATGACTTTGGAAATTACAAAATTATTAGAGCAATGGAAGAACAGTTAAACTTAATCAAAATTCTGACGTCTAAGAGCTACTTTCATAAGAAAGTATTTCGAATTTTTAATCATTTTCAGAACACTATCTAGTAGCACCAAACACGAATGAAATCAATTTATAGGCACAATCGTACAGGACGAAAAAATGATTCGTGAGTCGATGGTGAAATATTTCCGTACCAGTTAAAAGAACTTAACGAAAAGTAAACGCATTATATTTTTCTTTCATTCTTGTTTGAACCAAAAGAGAGGCATGATACTTTAATCGATTTATTTCCAGTAGATTTGACGTATACGACTGAGAGAACATATGGCTTGACTATATTTTACTATAGAAGTAAAATATTATTTTTAAAACTAATCCCCACTAACAACTGAGAAATATCATCAATATGCTGGTCTCTGATGTTTCTTTCGATATTTTTCAGATTTTCTAATCTTTAAAAGATAAAATTATAAATGTAATTGTTTATCTAATTTTTTTTATAAAAAGAAATTACTCGTGGTATAAATAGTCAATACATCTCATTGTTTTCATGATAGTCAGTAGGGAAAATGTGATGGACTATGTCAACTTTTTACCGAACCAAATAGTTTCTGGATCTTGTTCAAGAACAGTGAAGCCAACTTTTGTATAAAAACGAAAAGCTCTAGCATTATTTGCAGACATTTCTAAATATAAAAAGATTGCTTTCACAAAATGTTGTTAACGTGAAAATAGAATTTGGCATACGTAAATGAACGCCTTTCGATCCAAGTCGTTTCAATTCATCTACGATGTGATGAATCATTTTTGTCCCATAACCTTGTCCTTTAATATTAAAATTATTAGATGTTTTTATTTTTAATATATCAAGTAACCTTGAGCTTTTGGAAGGAGATCAATATGAAGATGTGATGGATAGCCATCGAAAAGTTTAAATGACTGTAAGTTATCGTTGTGAAAACTGCGTAAAACTTCTCGATCTTGTTTCACACTTTCTTCGTCTACAACAGTAAATCCAAAAAATTATCAAATAATTTACAAAAATGTTTTATGCCAATATTTATTTAAATATTTGCCCTCATTGGATTTTAACTCCCGACCAAAAAAAAGGCATACTTCATTAACCTGATGGAACTTTTGGATACAATTGTTTTACTTTTGAAAGCCATTCATTCACGTATTGTTGGTAGAAAATATCAGAATGTAAAGTACCAAGTACATAGCCGCATACATTGCCTTCCAAATCTTCTAAGATAAATGCAAGTTCCGGAGATAAATGAATGTATGGTGAAACGAATCGATATCCCAATAGTTTCGGATCATCATACAGCAAAGTTGCATCGTTACCGGCATCTCCAGTCTTTAAACAAACATCAATAGCACTCTCTTCATCCGCGATCGTACACGGACGAATGTTGAAAGATTGTAAAATCGACTGGTTGTTTGTAGCTGTCATAGGATGTGATGATATCGAAGCAAAGAAGAAAAAAGGACTCTTTACAATAGATAAGAAATTATATAGTTTTCAGAGTCTTATCATATCGCATACAAAAAGACCTGCTTGTCCTATTTAAGCAAAAGTTAAAATTCAATAATAACAAGTACGATTGGCCTAGCTTATTAATTTAAGATAATCTTGTTATCAAACAGTGCCAAAAGAACTCGTTCATGATGCTAAATAAAAAATGAACTATTTAGTATATCTAAATTCTAGACTGGTAGTTTTTTGATGAAATGCCAACCACTGAAACAGTTTTTCGGTTTGTTTCACAAGCATTTGCCTGTATTGAACAACAAATCAAATAAACGTTCATCGGATAGGTGAAGCAAATTAGAGAAGCAGAAAAGGATCATACGAGCAAAATAATACACAAGATCTACTGGTCTTTCAAATAAAATGAAATGTATCGTCATAGGAGAAAAGTACGCTGAACACTTGAATAATTGTATGATCGGTTCAATTTGTTGAGCTGTCATATAATTTGGCTGATTATTCGATCAGAAATGACGTGATTCGTATGCTTCTTGGGGAGGTGGTCTATTGTATATTGGTTGAGAGAAAGTTGGCTGATTGGTAACCTGATAACTCATCTGTTGATTGCTTCGTCCATTGTGACCTAAATACAGGAATTCTTAGATAATGGGATTAATTGCAGTTGCTTGCCTCTCGATTTCATCTCACGAGCCTCCTGACATAATGCGCATGGACCACAACACAACGTAGCTGGTATATCACTACAGGTTGCATCTTCACGTAGGTTATAGATTCTTCGAAGTTTTTCTCTTTTTAAATAGTGTGGTAGCCAGCACATATAGAAATGTGCTAGCAACCAGTATATACAACAGAATCCCAAGCAACTACTGTCATCAATTTTCTCAGCATTTGAACCAAATAAACATGGCGTACAGCAACATCCAAAACAACATATGGGAAAATCATCGCAGCAGCCAAATAAGCTTTCTAGAATTGAATGTTAAAACATATTTATTTTTTGTTAATGATCATAGTTTCAGACATAAAAAATTATACTTACCGTTCCAAGTATTCATTTCCGCCATTTTTTGTACGTCTCGAAGAGTAAAATTTTATCTAGAATATATTTTTAAGAACTCTGGTATATGCCTTTCCTTGAGAAAATTTATCTGGTGTAAACTATCGGTTCTTGATTGTGAGGCTAATCTTGCTCGTTCTAAACATCATCATACTCATGCAAACAAACAGTAACAAGCGAATGGATTTATATTGATTTCTGCATATGCTTGTCTCACTTTTGCGTACATTCTCAGTTTCTTGGCATTGATTTATACTTTTCACTCATGCAAATAGTCTACATTCCTACTATATCGAATAACCATTTTCTGAAGTATTATTTAGGACACAATCTCTCGAATTGGCAGTACTTACTTGCATGTGAAACAGAATCCGAAGTCTATGAAAGGAATCATGGTGAAAAGAAAAATACATATTTTATTTGATAATCGCAACTCATGTTATGCATTTTTTGACGTCATTTCATACTTTTTTGTTAATATAATAGCTTATGCAAATAGAACATCGCATAAACTTATTCCACAGCTAAAATACATGTCACGGCTATTTGAATTGTACGCTTTTAACTGTGCTTTACAAACAGTTAAAGGAAAGAAAAAAAACTTAAGAATCGACCTCGCTCGGTCGCAAGCATGATAGAATATTACCTTGAAGCTGTTAATATTTTTTTAAATCAAAGGTGTTCAATTTTTATTTTGATGAGTTATAACGATTTGATAATTATCGAGAATGCTCATTAGTACTTCTGTAAGTTCTCATTAGATGAAATACTGGTTTTTGTTGACTCATGATAAGTTTTCTATTTTGATTTTTAATCATTTATTTAAAGAGAATTCAAGTTTAGTATGCAATATAACCTAGAGGGTAGAATGAGTAAAAATCCTGTCCTCTATTCTCTTCTTTCCATTCAGTTGAGTAAGTAATTAGTACAAATACAAATGGGTATAGTCTGTAATAACTAAGTCAAATCTCACGAATGTAACCTTTCAATTTGTTTGTATTGAAAAAAACAGAAATTTTTACTGTTGTTGATATTTTAGTAAAAAATCGCACAGTTTTCCTTGTAGCCCGTTTTAATTAATAATTTATAAACAACAAATAAGCATATTAATTATGTGAGCTGTTTCCGATAGTGATTACTAGTTTACAACATCAAGATGAACTGTTTGCAGTTTAATTTTATGATAAAACTTTATTTATGGGCACTTAGAAATAAATTCTTAGACATAGGGTGAGTCAATGTCTGCATTTTTCGATCTTCGATGATATCTTGACATTTTCCACGGATAGCATATTTCTTTATTGTTTTACTACTAGTTTTAAAATAGACTTCGTGTTTTGGGCATTCGAATTTGTTTCTTTGTTTGATGAAGTTATCTTCGATAGCCGAAATAATGAAAAACCTCCATCGCACTAAGTGTTGACATAAGTATAATGATAGATTTTACCTACGGTCAAATAATTTCTTCTTTGTCTACTATTTAAAAACAATTCGTGTACATAAACTTGTCAATCCAGGTCGAACAGTACGATCCGTATACGGTCGTTTACGGTTACTTTACGACTATTTTCCGGGCGAAAATTTGCCGTAATATCTGGCGCAGTAATACGGACCATATGATCATGAGAGTACGGAGCACAAACAGCCGTAAACCATGAAGGTTCAGTCTCGTTTACGGTGCCGTATTACTGTGCCAGGTATTACGAGCAAATACGGCCTATTTACTGCCATAAATACATCGTTTTGACATCGTTAACCGTCGATAAACAGACCGTAAACGAGTCCGTTTTGATCAACCTGGACAATCAAGTATTTATTTTTATTAACTGTAAAACAATATACTATATACTATAAACAAAGTCTCTCATTTCTCGATAATATTAGTATTATAAATAATACCCTGAGTATTGAGGAGAATCTGCATATCTTTCTTCTCATATTTCACAATACAGTATAATAATAAATAATAATACACGTTCTAAGAACAACAATTATTATTAAACTGCTTTATTACATTGGAGTCGGAACACTTTTGATCACCAAATTTTCTTAGTATTAATTTTACATCATTTATTTTTCAAAAAGCTATAGTATATAGAAAAAACATTTACACATAAGGCAAAAGAAGATACTTTTAAAAGCTCAGTTAAATCTTAAGGGTATGACTATTAGTATCTTCTTCACCCACACCCTAAAGATAAACCTTGATTTTGTTTATCTGGCATCGCTAATAGGAAGGGAGTAATGGTTTTCAAGTATTTAGTTATGTCCTGAAAATCAGGAAAAACCAATGATTTTACTGATTCAGTAGCCGGCTCTATTACAGCCACTAGCCGACGATTTCTTCAAATAAATTGCAATTGACCTCTATTTACCTGACTTTTATGCCAGGGATAAAATTTTAAAATCATTTTAAATGGAATTTTTGAAAACGAAATTCAGCTGTCTTATACTAAGAAGCGAGAATTCGATGTTAACCTAATTAGACACCAATGCAATTCGAAAAATATGCCATTGAACACAAATTAGAAGTAGCTGAAATGTGGACTGGCAATCTAAGAACACATCATTGGTCGAAAAAACATGAAAAATAAATAATAATGGAAGATTTTATACTTGGCCGAGCCTACTGACTCCGCCCCCATTACCCTCATCAATATCTACATCTACGCACTGGCACTTCTTGGATATTATATATGTCTACTCATGACAGTGGAATTTGTTTTTTTACTAATGTTTGATGGAAAATGTATATTAGGTGGATAAAATTTCGTTTTTTAAAAGTGTGTCTCCTACACTGAAAAGAAAAAAGGAACCGTACCGAACTTAAAAAGGTTCCGAATTTTGAAACGAATTCTAAACCTTTTTAAGTATCGTACGAAACTGGTTTAGTATGAAACTTATTCCAATAGACAAACTTAAAATTAGATTTTGCAGATTAAGTTCCGCAATACCAATTTAATAATAGAGCTGTCAGCAAGCCGGCGTACTAAGTCACCGGAAAATATGAAATTCAAATCTATTTTGCCTTTTGCCTTTTACATTGTATTGAAGTAGAATAGGAGTTTGTTTGAGAGCAGCACTATTGACCCAAGTTATCCTTTTCTTGCGTTAGAAATCTTTACGTCGATCATCAAACTCCAAAAACTCATATTTTCAAATATATCTCTTACACAGAAAAGGAATAAACGGGATCAATAATGCTGTTCTCAGTTAGCTTACCACTCTACTTCAAAATAATATAAACAGATCAACTCATCTTGAATTTCATATTTTTCGATGGCCAGACAGGCCGTTATAATGGCATTTCTGCTTTACAGAACTCGATACGCAAAGTTAAAACGTCAGAGTTGCACTCTTATCATCGCAAACTCCTCCTATTATTTCAAATTCACCCAAATTCAGGTCGATTCTCCCAGAATTACCGTTCAGAACGGGTTCAAAATGCTCTTTCTAGTTGTCTAATCTTAGCTTCAGAGATTAAGACTCTAGGAAAGGCACGATGAGACGTTCAAAATATAACAGGAGGATACCAAACGAACAACCTAACTTGATTGGCTTTACATAAGACACAAATAGAAAATATTTCAATGAATTAGTCAGACTTGCCAACTATTAAAAACACTAGACCATAACCAGATTATTGACTCGAATAATCCGAACCGAGCCAAAGTTTAAATATGACATCCATATCGATATCAATACTTCGGTTTAATAATCATGCAATAGAAAAAATGATCGTAGTTTTCGTGTTGAAATTATTTGCCAAATTGTTTAGTTGGGTAATCTGAATGAAAGAAACATAGGTGGAGGCTAGCTATAAGTAAATATTTCCAATTAATAATCTGCAACGATGAAAAAGCGCCTATACTATTCAATGTAGAATCACTTGAAATACCACTCGGTTGCATAGTGATTTGTGCGAAGAAAAGAATTTTCGAAGTTAAATTTAACTTGGAGTGAAATTTTATATATAACACGCTACAACAAAGAAAAGAAAATTATTCTGTAAAATCCTGAGCTACCTGAAATATTCTTCAGTTCTGCAAGTTGAACGAAACAAAGCGTTTTCAGATTTACATTTAGATTGAGAAGAGTATTTCTATCTAATAATTTACAATAGAGGAAAGAAGGATATACAGTAATCCCAAATATGGATTTACCTGAAATATTGTTAAGGTGAACGACTTGGGCGAAAGAAGCTTTTGAAAGTTGAATGAAACCTGAAGCGAGTATTTTGATCTAATAATATAAAACAAAGATATAGTGATAGTGTTAAATGTAGAATTACCTGAAGTAATGTTGAATGGAATGACTTGAAAGAAATGTAACCCTTTCAATATACAATATAACTGCAAATATAAATTCTAGTAATCTATGACAGAAGAAGAAACAGATATAATTGCTGCAAGTAAAAATTTCTTATTTGTTCACCTCAAAGATTTGAAGAGCAATGTGAGTATTGAATGTAATTTGAGATAAATGTTTGAATTAGGTAATCTAAAACAGAAAAACAAAAATTGTCATTCAAAAGATAGAATTACATGGCAAATAGTTCTGTTGGACAACGTGTAAAAAAACACTGACATTGGCTCTAAATATACATCATATAAACATTGAATTTGAAAAGTCTATAATGGATAGCTGAGATTGATAGTTTTAAGGATAAGCGTACATCATGGAGGATTGTGATGGCGAACTTAAAAGAAAAGCATTTCAATTTTTCAGTTGGACGAACCTATTAGAGGTATATTCCGAAACGTGTAAGGGTTTCATACGAAACTTGGCTCAACTTTGACTTTCACAAAAGTATGGTACGAAACCTTTGCCACTTCAGAACCTTATAAAACGATCGCACCGAACTTTTTCTAGTACTAAACCTACAAAAGGTTTCGCAGGTCCATACCATAACTCTAAGGGTTTAATAAGGTACCACCAAACCTTAAAGATTCCGTACAGCACCTTTATTTTTTTCAGTGTAGCGAATGTA